TAGACCTCAGCCTACAACTACAGGTAGACCTCAGCCTACAACTACAGCCACACCACAATCTACAACGACAGCCAGAACACAACCATCAACTACACATGTACCAAGTAAGTTAGATGTTCTTATTTCTCTATAAAAACAAGGACTGGGATTCTTATACTGTGCTTTCTACCTCATATGTTAGATTCCAATGGCAAAGTTCACCCGTGTGCTAAGACAGTAAACTCTGTCCCTACCACTCTGTCTCTCTAGCACCCTCTTGCCCAGAGAACAGTCATTACACCGCGTGTGACCCACCATGCAGTCCAACCTGTAAACACCTGAATGGCCCACCAGGCTGCAGTGACAATGAGGGTTGTGTGCAGGGATGTGTATGTGATGAAGGATTTGTGCATGGACAGAGGGCTTGTGTGCCTATCCAACAATGTGGATGCGTGGACAAGAATGGCACCAGACATCATGTGAGTGTCAAAATGACTCCTCATCAATGGCACAAGTCATATATAGCGTCAAATACTTGGGTCTACATTCTGAAGGCCTAAGCATTATTGCCAAAATTGCGCCTGTGGACATTGATGTCCTGGCAGTATGATGACTCTCTCTCTCTCTTGTCAGTTCAATGAAGTGTGGTACACCAATCACTGCAGTCAGAAATGTGAATGTGAGAAAGACGACGGCGTGGGGGAGATTGACTGCGATGACGAAGTTGAGTGCGATGGAGATGATGTCTGCCTTCAAAATGAGAAGGGAAATTATTACTGCCAGTCTACAGGTGCTGTAAATGTCAACATTTAACTCTGTGATGTATCTAAACCATGTTATATCATGTTCACTCATTCATGAATTGCTCTACACTTGTTGCTCCACAGGCTTCGGAGAGTGCACTATCAGGGGAGACCCCGAGTACAGAACATTTGATCAAATGAAGCATGAATTTGACGGTGAGCACTCGTATGTGCTGGTCCGGACCAAGAACTCGCCAAATTACCTTCCACATGTTTACATCGAGGCCATCAATACCGTACATGATGACGATGATAGTCAGCATCACGGTGACAATAGCAGTGAAGAAGACCACAGCCGCAGTGTGAGCGACAAAGACGATGATGATGATGATGATGATAGCAAACATGATGACGACAGTGAAGAGCATAAGGAACACCATCAATTACAAGAGCTTAAGATCAGAGTGTATGATCACACTGTGGTATTCAAGAAGAATCGGATGCTGGTCGTAAGTATCAAGGGCCTTTTAACAACACACTGCCTCCATCTCATGTTCCTGTGGCTCCTTTTCAGCAGACATACTATTATGTTCGCGGGATAACATCCTCATATTTTGCCCACCCACAGACATTTGTGAAAGCACTGAGGGAGATAACCAGTGCTCCTTCACATTTGTTTCTGTGCGGTGTTACGACAGCAGTGGGGCTGATGATGTGGCGCTAGATTATGCTCTGTCATATGTTATTTCCCTATTGGCACTTTATATATGTTTGTGTGTGTATATGAGAGCAAGGAAATAAAAAAGAGAGAGCATGTAAAAAAGTTGCAATATTGACAGATTCTTCGTCTGAGCCATGTACATTTAAGAAGGCCTGCACACAGTATATTGAATTGAATAGCAGAAGAACACTCAAGCTTTAGTATACTCATGCAGTAACAATTTTTTAATTGTTATAGCTTATATTTTATAAATGTTTCATACGATTATGAATTAAGGCTGGCCCGAATGCTCTGAAGCTTTGATAATCAACGTCCAAATCAGTATTTTTTTTTATGTGCATCACCCTCAAAATGAAAAACAGCACATGAAAGAAGGAATAATGATCCCACATTATTCATTGTGCATCAACTTTCATGATTTTGATATATTCTCAGACAGATATTTTTGTTTTAAAAAAAGGAAAATTCTTGAAGTTCGATTTATATCCTCATCTCAAATTAGACAATAATAGCAAACTTGGACCATCCCTAAAGACACGCGATAGTATGGTTAAAAATGTATGTTTTGTGAATCCTTGCACACAATCATAGATCATAAGAGTTTACTTAAATATGATAAATGTCATTGACACATACCCCCTTCTGTCTTCCTCCAGGTGGATGGAAGGAAAACCAAAACTCCTGCCTCACCGACTGCTGGTCTAAAGATCTGGAAGCATTCCTCTCGCATCTACCTGAAGACCGACTTTGGCCTCTCAGTGGAGTTTGATGGTCGCAGCAGTGCAGGTAGCTCATCTTCACCTCATTAAACGATAGAATTCACTGTTGTCCTGGGATTTGTAGGACTCATCAAAAAAATCCTCAAATCTCAACTCATCATTCTATCCCATGTCAACAAATGGGTTATTTTCTCTAGGAGAGAGTAATACACTGAATTAAGTAACACTGTATTGTTGATGTTGTTTCCGCAGAGATCATTCTACCACGCTTGTATAAAAGGAAGGTGGGGGGTCTGTGTGGGAACTTTGACGGTCATAAGGGGAATGACTGGATGAAGCCAGATGGTACCAGGGCCAGGAGCATCGAAGAGTTCGGAGAGAGCTGGAGAGTGTGAATATCAGATGATGTAAGGATGAGACATGGCACATAAAAATACCCATGTAGGCTTTGACCACTAGCAGAAACATCACTGTGGCAGTTAACAAGAAATCAGACAGATTTAATGCTGATTGAATCTTTTCATTCGGCAACATATACTCTCCCACACCGAAGCTGCCAAACACGCCATGGCATAAACATGAACAGTGGCAATGATGTCCAGCTTTCTTCACCTCCAGCTCTTAAGGACAATAAATACAGGACGATGGAAACTTTTCAACTGCTTGTATAGTGAAAGGTCTTAGAGGGCTACGCCTATACCCATAGAATCTGGAGTTACAACATGTAACTAACGTTCCATACTGCACTCACATCAATCAGGGATGGTGCGTTGTTTCAAGAATCTTTCAAATCTTTTTTTTTTTTAAAGTAGAAATCTCAAACGTCTTTGCTTATTCAGGATATCATCTAACTCTGTGGTAATATATCAGACTACTGTTTGTGTCATTGCCACGCAAACAGCTGTGCATATGCTTTATAAAAAGTAATGATTATGCATCACTTAACGGGATTATTTATCACTATCCATTAATGTTGGAAAGACACTCAGTGTGCAATAAATGATTATACAAAATGAAGCGTGAACTTGGTCATAATGTGTATTGGAATATCAGTGCATTGGTAGGTTTTCTATTGAATCTTCATTTTTCTAATACACATGCACTGTGATTACATTTGTGTCGCCATTATTCTAGTATTTTCTGTCTCGTGTAGCTACAACTGCATTCTTGACATACAGTCAGATAGTTCTGCTGTAAATTAAAAATAAAAAATACAGAAATCTCCTGCTGGATCAGGTCATTGTCCTTGGGTGCTTCATTTCAGCCAACACACATACTCAGTTTAGGTTATAAGCAATTAAATTAAACAGCATCCTCATATTACATGTTGGCGAGAGGTCATTTATCAGAGGTCATTTATCAGTGCTAATTGTACTGACGTAAGTGCGAAAATGACTCACATGGATACGAGATGGATCCACTAGATGGATGAAGCTTAATTATGTCACGGTTTTATGTAGCCTAAATATTTGGTAAGGTCTTGATGAGGTTAAGTGACACAAATATTAGTAAAACTGCTATTTATACAGTTACAAAAGACTTACTGTGGAGAAAATTGGTTAAAAAATGTCAATTAAACCCCTTTTCACTGAGAGAAAATACAAATTAAGACAAAGTTGTAATTCATAAACAAGTATTATTCTTTGGAAGAGTCTACTGGGATCTCCTTTGTCAAACCTGGAGACAGACTGTTCTCTACCTTGTTTACAGCTGTGCTGTGTGTGCAAGTCCACAAGCACAACGTCTTTGTAGTCTCTAGTACTACAGCACAGCACACAGCAGTACTCCCTCTGTGCTTGCAAATATCAGCAAAACTTTAGCATCCACAGCCTCTGATACATCACCACCAAGCACAACAAACAGTATTATATCTACACCAGTGGATGTAAGCATGCATGACGTCATCTACACAGTCTATTTCTCCAGGACCCTGCACAACAAACAGCAGTATTACCTGTACGCTTGCAAAAACAATCCAACTTTTTTCCATCGCAATATATAGCGATACATTGGTTTTGGGTATCAGCCAATATAGAGTACCGCTCTGTCACCAACATTTATTATTAAGTTGTATGCCTCTGTGTGGAAGTGACTGGGATAATACTGTGCAATGCAACATCAGGCTAGACATAAACATTGCTGTCCTAACTTTGTAAAAACAAATAAATACATAGATATAAACATACTGAATTGTTAAAATAGTGTGATATCAGATCGCCATTTTGTCACCAATACCCGATTCAGCGACGTGTTTTTTAGTCAGTATATGACACGAAGCAGCAGTACTACATCTACACCTTTAGATGGCCTCACAACTTCAGCTTCCAGTCTCCACAGCTGCAGGATGGTCATTATCTCTGCTTAAATCATTTTAAAAAATGCACATTTGAAAAATGTATTCATTATTTATGTCGCTGCTGAAAATGAATTTGCAGCCAAAAAGTTCGATATCTTTCATTTTTAGCATCAGGGTCTGAACCATCGATGACCCTTTAGAGAGGTGAGCTCAAAGGTGTTTCTGACAGAAACCAGTAGTGTCACATTTTCACCAGCAGATGGGAGCAAATCGGGATCTTTCAACAACAAAAAAAGGACTCCACCATCAGCTCAAGCAAAGGTTCAGTCAGCGCCATGGATTTCTGAACTTCAATTAAGCATTTAACAGTTTGACTGGCAAAAAATGATGACCATTCACCAAAAAAAACAGTTTTATCCAAATAATGAGGGAAATTGTGTGAGCTTTAGCTAATGCTAGTAAACAACCTTTAAAATATGCATCATACAGTATCACAAAAAAAACAATATATAGTATACACACCGCTGTCTCTCATCTAATGAGTAAGTGTCTTCTCCCTCACTCTTTCTGACCCCGACCTTTCTCCAGCAGAATTGTGAGGTCTGCACTATGACCATCAGACACATCAAACCCACCTGAGTAAATGCAGATGTTTCAACCGATGGAAGCATCAGTGTGGCTGCAGCTGTGCTGTAACAAAGGGCTACACTGCTCTTAGAAACAACTATTGCATCTGTTAACTGTCAGTGCTTTAGGGAAGAAAATGACATCAAATCTATTAAGAGTTAACTGGATACGAGGCAGTTCTGTTTGGCTGGATCGGGTCTGCAAGTGGTATTCCCACACTTCAAGGATAATGAGGCAAAAGTTTAATTATACTGGCAGTGGCGTTCTGGCTTATTTAAACTGCAGGGTTCTGTTCAATTAACTCTAAGACCAAGTGCTCATTTTAGCAGTGGGGCGGTTCAGGAGCCAGCAGCAGGTTATCTCAATGAGAATGTTGTAATTTTAACAAGAAATTCAGATTTGTAGTGCCATTCCATTGTGGTACAAAAAAAACTACGGCTGCAGCTAAGGATTCTTTTCTCAATCGATGAATCCGTCCATTATTTTCTTGATTACTCGATTAGTCATTTGGTCTAAAAAGTGGTGAAAACAGGCCCAGCAAAATGTGGCAAAGCAAAAGGTAGGTGAGGTTTTCAAATATCAAATATCTTGTTTTGTCCAACCAACAATCCAAAACCTAAAGATATACAGTTTATTTTCATAGCAGATGATGTAAATCAGAAAATATTCACATTTGAGAAGTTGGAACCAGAGAATTTGACTTTTTTTTTTTAATAAACTATATGTTTCTTGTGTATCCTTTTGGCATATTGTACTCTGACACATATATCACAATTGACAACTAGTCTAAAAACATTGACGGATTAAAAAGTATCAACGCATGCATCAAACACATTACACGGTCTCTACTGTAGGATTCATTTTGCAGCACAAGAAAAAGAGGAATCAATTCGCAGAAGCAACTGGCAGGCCTCCTGCACAGGCTGCCTGACAAATCACAGCTACGAAAAAATATATGTATGCAAAATTGGGGGGAATTCCAGCATATTTGGGAGCTCTCGTGTCCCTGCAGACTGTGTAGAGAGCAGCAATAAGACAAAAGCGCCATTGACATGCGAGCGTGCAGAATATAGCCACCACAACACCAGCAAGTACACATCAGCAGCAGCTTCAGAGTGCAAACAATGTAGACAGAGGTTCAAGTCAAACAAATAAATACGCGCAGAAAGCCGCAGAGACACGTTTAACCACCGGGGGAAGACACGAGCGTATAGTGAACTTACTTGTATCTAACATCGAGGCCCATTCTCCTCTATCAAGGATGAATCCGGCTGTATTACCCCACTGCACGTGTTGTTGTTGTGGTGGTCGTTTGTTTGTTGAACTCCTCGTTTCCTCTCTCCATCGCTGCTTACGTTAACTTTGATAACATAAACATAAAGCTAACTCATTTAGCAGGTAACGTTCAATTGTGTTAACTTTATTTTCTTTGTCGCGAGGCCAGGGAGCATCACACTCACTTTAATCTCTTCTCCAGGAAATGTGTCCATTTTCCGCCAATGACTTAGAGTTGGTTTTATTTCTTTCTTTTTTTTTTTACATACACTGACTTGATATTTATTTCTCTGGGCTCCCTCGACTGCGCGGGTGCATTGACATGTACCAACCACCACCACCCGTGGCGCTGTTTCACTCGCTTGAGGCAATTACCAGATTGCTCTATTAGAATTAGAAAATGTCCTTCTTTGTTCCTGCTTTGATTAGAAAATGCCCCTGCACTGTGTTCAGCTTGATTAGTCTAATCAGAACTCATTTAAGAGCGGGTGTCGTTTTGTTTAACTCCAAAACATTATGTGTGTGCATTAGACCTAGATATTCATGTGTGCTGGTGCCATGCTATCTATTCTAGGGTGATCTTTTGCTGTCCATAAATGTCCGTAGTACTGATTGCATCGATGCTTGCACGTGCACGTGACATTATGACTCCAAATGGAATATGCACTGATGAAAAAATGTAATGTGCAAGAAATGCGTTATTAAAATGTTGACATTCGATCATAATGTGTGTTGTAATGCGTATACAAAGGATGTTCTCTACTTTGAGTAATGGCAACGCTCTACAATGTGGTTACATTTGTGGCAACATGAGGCGAGTCATGTGACACTCAAAGCGTAGCTCCAAAAACACTTCACATTTGTCTACTCTACAGGCTGTCAGTGTGACTCATCAATCAGTGAAACAGGACAAAAAACAGCAGAATAAAATAAAACAACACCATGGTTTTATTTGTTTTGGCCAACAGGGGGACCGTTCCTGTCATGGGTGTAGGCTACTGTTGTGACACTACTACCAGTAGTGTCACATCTTCACCAACAGATGGAGGCATATACACAGAGTCCGACCAAAGGCCGGACTTCAGGACCACCGTCAGCTCAGGTACAATCAGCGAACCAGATTTTTGTGTAACCCAATTATGTAGTTCACCGTTTTGAAAGGTAATATGTGTTATTCTTTGGCACCTCTCTATCTCTCTTCCGATCTCAAAACAGGGATTGTGCATTATAAAGTCCCTGTTTTAACCCAAATAAAGATGTGATTGTGGAAGTTGTATCAGGCCCGAGCCCCTCTCTGTGAACTCTGCATCCCGAAGATGAGACACATCAAACCAATCTGAGAAATGGCCTATTTTGTTTTTTGTTTTTTCCCAGCTGAATTGTCATTTAGTGCAGTGTTCTGTAGTCTTTGTCTGTGGGACTTTTGATCTGTTGAGGCAGGTTTGGACCAGATTCAGACAGCCTCTCAAAAACCACATTTAGGCTAATTCATATGCAGCTTTAAATCAACAGCAGCTCTTGAAAATGAGGTTTTGTCTCGAGTCTGTGCAGTCAGCATACTCACGACTATCGCAGCCTATTCTGCGTTTCCATATTGTCATATTGTTTTACTCACATCTCATCACGTGCTGTCAATGTGTGATTTACAGTATTGCCAGTCTTGTGCAAGAAAGTGTAATTAAGTCTTGACTGCAGTGCTGAGGGTTTACTGGCTAAATCCCAAATGCATTGAATTGTGAGTGATCATAAAGATGCAACAGCCTCTCACAAAATTAAATCAACTGCATTCAATCTTCCAACAAAAGGCTATATATAATAAAAAATGTGTGGAATTGAGAAAATAAAGAAAAAAATGTAAATATCGATGCCATTATCTTAAAATAAGGAGTTTGTTAAACAATATGAACGATCATGTCCCACTCACAGCTCCCCATTATTCAGTCAGCACTATCTGGTCAGAGTTAAGTGTTTTCAGAAGCTCGCCCCAAAACTTCAAGGCAAGTGTTGTTTGGGTGGGTAGATCTACACGCGGTGACCCCGGCACTTCAAGGGGAGGATGAGACAAAGATTTAATTATGAGGGAAGAAGAAGAAACAGGTCCACATGGCCTCGGGGACCGGCATAATCTCTAGGAGCGGATAGTTCAAATTAGACCAGCATTGTCAGTCCAGACCCACATTTTGACTCCGGATGTTTTAACTTAATGCAACAACAAAAAATTCAAAGGCGTTCCTGTCTTTCTCTCTTTCTTCCTTCCACGTGCATCTGCGCGAGCACACCGTACCTGCTCAGCTGTCGATCTGCTAACCTGAAGCGTCCTCCCCCGTCTCCGCCGCAATAGGCTACAGCTCACGTTGGCGATGTGTGGCGCAAATCAGAAGCGGGTGTTCCCTGTAAGCTTCTCTCCGCGATCCCGCAGCAGCGCAATTGAAGTTAATTCCGCCGAGTGAGTCTCGGGGTTCACGTTTCGCCACAGCTTGGTAAACTTAGATCATGTGGGGTCACCGGGAGGTTGCAGCGGCCCTGTAGCTGCGCGTCCAGTCTCCCGAAGATCAGTTACAATGTAATGGCAGAGGAATGTCGCTCATGTGGGGCCTTTTAGCTCTAATTAGGACCAATGTGAGAGAGTGAGATGTCACTTTATTTATTTTATTCAGGAACATTGTTTGCATGCATCTATAGTTTGTCAGCACATCATTGATGCTGCACTAACTGTATACACCTTCAAGTGAAATTACACATTAAAACCTTACTGTATGCCCTGATTTAAATATACACTTTATCTATTCATAAATTAAATTCAGTCTTAAAAGAAATGCATGTAAATGCATTAAAAAAGAATGTATAACCCTTATCGAATCTTTCAGTGTATGTTCAGGTAGGTTAAACTGAATTCAGAGAATGGAAAATACACACACACACACACACACACGCACAGTGTCCATGATGTCCACACCATCAGTCGGCCGAGTTATCCCTGGTTCCCTGTGGTGTGTGCATGTTGAAGGCCCCAGTGTTACTGATCCTGATTGGGCCTCACAGGAGGAGATTCCGGCCTGCCATTGACCCACACTTCTCCATGTTTCCACCCTTCTCTCAGATCATCAGAGGCAGCCGTCTCCTCCGGCCTGCCTGCTTGCGTGAGATTTCTGATTGTCAGATGGAAGGGGGAGAGGGAGGAAAATGAACTTACTACATTTTTTTTTTGTGAAATCACTAGCAGGTCTGGCCTGAGTAGTCGGCACTGACGTTCTTCTGGCTTGGTGACTGTCAAAACATCCCCACCCCCCCGCCCATGCAGTTCTTACCCTCCCTCCTTCTGCTTAGAAAGCCTGTGGCTCACAAGCTGCTCTCCTCTTCAAAGTAAAACTTGTCCACCATGCAGCCTGTGTTGAATTTCCGTGTACTCATGAACTCCTCGGAGGGGTCCTTTTGCTCCTCGTCGCCGCCTGAGCACTTGAAGAGTGTCATGGCAAGGAGGGAGTAGAAGATCATGACGAACAGGATGTAAAAGTAAGCATTGTCGTAAGTCTTCCTGGAACCTGAGATGGTGGACACTGGACCGGGGCCGGACAGAGGACTCGCCGTGGTGCTGGATGTTGTCATGTTGATTTTCCGTTCATTGACGTCCATACCGGTGTCCTCCATAGCCTGATGGCATCTGGTGAGAAGAGACAGCAGGAGGGTCCGGTTCATGCGCTTCATACCAAAATTGAAAGACTTAGTGGAGAAGTTCTTGACAGACACAAAGTAAACATTAGACAGAAAAGGGACCAGGGCGACTGAGAAGGGACTACAGATAGTGTGAGAGGCCGGCACTCACCACTTTAGGAAAGGCACGCTGTGAGTCATCCACCCACTCTTCAAGAGACTTGATAAGGCAGCATTTCAGAGATAAAGCCCACTCCTTTTCTGTCCTGTTCGATAGCAGTAAAAGCACAACAATGACCTCCTTTTCAGAATGAATTCCACAGAATTGTTTGCCATTTTCATCAGAAATGATTGTGAGTCAGTCATACATGCCGTCAATACAAGTCTCCGAGCACATTCCGGCTCAAAGTATTTTCTAAAGCTCCCTTTTAACTCTATTTTTTCCTATCTTAGACCGTCCTCTTTGTACTCCTTCCTCCACTTTCAATTTGGGGTCTTGGAAGCTGCAGAGACGCTTGGATTGTTGTCAGCTCCGGTCAAGTAGTCTACTCATTTCAAAGAGTGTTGGGGTCAGAGGTTAAGTTGTCTCCAGTGTGTTGCTGCTTGACTGACACTCCGCTCCAAAGCAACCCCTTTGGCTTTTTCACTCATTGTGTCTTACAAGTTGAGCACTTGTAAAAAAATAAATAAAGAAAAAGTTTTAAAAAAAAGAGTTTGTAGAGAGTAAAATAAATAGTGAAATGTGATCTCGCCTTGATCTTATCTGTCGACTGTGTTGGCCACCGAGCATAAACATACAAACAAATGTGCTAACGCACAAATAAATGCATACAAAGTCAATATTACTAAAACACAAAAACAACAGTCGGTGTATTCTCGTGCATGCAGACTTCATACATATACCATGTATGGAGAGGACAGCTGCATACCTGATCCCTGAACCTCCAGAAGAAAAGAAAGAAAAAAGAACCGTCAGGGAGCGATAAAAATGCACCGGTGATATCTGTAACCTTTTGAGGAGTCTGCCAACTGGGTGAGCAGTGTTTTCATTTCTGTGTGGCAGGGAGAGCAAATAACCCTTCTGAAACCCCGTGCAGCCATGTCAGTGACTGATGTCCTGGTGTGACTATGTGCTTATATAATTTACAGCAGCTCTGCTTTAGTCATTACGGGGTGTGAAGGAGCCCCTAGGGAGCAGGAATTTGTTCAAAAGGAGTGTTTATGAAAGGGGATATATTTATAATTTAGTGCTCCAGGAGTGTGCACGGGGGGTGCAGCTCTCTGAGTAGCTACTGTCACTATCCTGCTCATCTGGATTTAGATGGGAGGCGGGGAAACAGCTGGCATGTTTGAAATGGAAAGAAAGAAAAACATTCTCTAGTTTAAATGACAGTATATCAAGAGAACGCATTTGTGTGATCTTTTTGACTTTTTACTTCCTGTTCCGATTTTACTTCCTGTAAATTTAATTTCAACGACTAAATTCTGGAGAGTTAATACCGAGGGATTTTTTATTAAAATCTTTATTTATTTATGTATAGATTTATTTGTTGGCCTCTTAAATCTAATTTAAAGACACTGGTAAAAATGTAAGAATTAGTTTATTAAATATCCACCAGGTGTAGGTTTTAATTAAAGAATAGATATTTTCAATGGTTACTGCCCTGGTATCTCATAAATGACAGTCAAAGTCACAACGTTCTACATTTTTATATAGTTTATTATAAATAGTAAATAGTGCTGTATTGTACACAAAACTTCTTACAACAAAATCATTTTACACCAATGGAAATGGAAATCATACAAAAGAAAAATCATGTATAATGAACATTGTGTAGGATTTAAGCACTTAAGCGCACTTAATACAAAACATACAGAAGAGACAACAGTTGACCAACACTAAATAAATAAGAAAAGGAACTTATGTTTGAAAGTTCCTGGTAAAATCTAACTTAACACATGCGAAATAAAAAAAATTACCTGTCAAACTGAATAATGTATTCACTGGCAGAGAATTTTTTTGGCTTAATGACATCACGACTACATGTTTCTATTTTTCATCGCTTGATGATTTCCCCTGATTGATCAATGCACACAACCCAAAATTAATTACATTAAAAAGAGAGCATATTTTTTGAGGGTATAATCGGGGACATTTGATCCGTGTTAATGTACATCACATGAGGTATGAATGTATTGCACTTTCTTTGGGTTGCAGTGGTTTCGCAATGACTCCGCTCAGCCTGGTTTCATGCCTTTCTGCTGTTTTTTTCCGGTGTAGTCATATTTTCATCTCCAAAGTCGTATAAGAGAATCGCATCAATGAATATTATTTTCCTAGGAAATTACGATGAAGGGATCCTTAGAAGAACATTGTGGCTGAGTGCAACACGTTATCATCATCCGGCCTTTTGATAAGCATACTGTAAGAATAAGCCCTTCCCCTATCAAGTTGGGCCCCAGAAGCACAGGGGCACCTCTCTGCCACTTACTACAAAAATCAAATACAGAATCTTGAATGTATTTACTCCCCTTTCCCCACCCCTGTCTTCTTTTCCTCTTTAAGCATGGACAACGAGCGGTGCTTGGTCCTTGGAGCGTGACATGACGCACGAGCAAAGCGATTGCCAGGTAACAGGAGAGGCTGCGCCTTTGTTCCAAATTATTCCAGTCAACCCCCTCCATCGCCATCACTACACCTCCTCCACCACTGGTTCCCTTGCTGAAGGAGGACACCTCAACCCCTCTCTCTTGCTGTCCTCGGGGCTGCGGAGCTTTGGCAAAGGCAGCGAGCGGGTGGGGGTGTTCTCTGGTCGACGGATGTCAGACTGGCCCGGGAAGCCTCCTGTTCGGGCCATGTTGGGGGCTTCATATAATGAAAGGCACCTGAGGAGAGCAAGGAAATACAGAAGGAAGGTTGAGAAGACTCTCTTGAATTTTTTTCAGCTTCAACTGCTTCAATTCTCTGATGGCTAACATCGCAAAATGTGAAGTTAAATGAGGTGTGTAATGTTGACAGGAGGAACTGTGTAAGAAGAAAGAGGTGTTTATGAACCCATGGGAGCAGGTGAGAATGGGTACTGGGGTCCCAGGTTAAATGAAAAAACAGGTAAACGGCTTTGGGAATCTCCTTAGATATTCTTTGAAGCTAATGTGGTCGCTAAAACTAGCCCGAGACTGAGCCTTAGCCTGGATCTGTGGCTCTGCTCCACTGATCAATAACAACTCTAAATCTGACCTCCAGTGGGACACATGGTTCTAATCCTGGCCTGCCAAGGGCCATAATCGCCCCCTGTTAAAGAGCCCCTTACCGTCCATTTATACTCACGCACACACACATACATGCTTGCGCTCACATAGGCCTTATACACGTAGACGCACACATTTCCCCAAACCCCCAAAAGCTACATGTGGGTCTCTCCCAGGACTGGCTAAATTAATGAAATCAAGATGTTGCCACTGATGGGCCGGTCAACATGTGGTAGTGTACCTCAGATCAGGCCCCCGCAACACACCGCACTCTCCCCTCCCTCCTGTCAAACACGCTTTGGGAAGTGGCTCCTTTCATTTGGGCGGCTATCTTCGTTACACAGGGGTCATTACATGGCTAGGTGCGCTACTCAGAGGGTTTGATGGGCAAGCTCATCATACGGGGTCATGAAAGGACAGCGAGTGAAAATGCGTGTGCATGCCTCTGCACCCGGCCACGTGAATACTCTGATGATGGTAATGTAAACTGAGGTAGCCGGGCCACTCGCGCTCTCTTGTCATACGCGTAATTTCAGCACAGAGCAGGGTGATTTGAGAAGGCCGCTCATCAGAGGGGTCTGCGCAATTAATGTGGGTTGTGAGTTGGAAAATACAAACTAAATCGCATAGCTAGAGCAGAGGTTACAGAGGAGCATAACCTCCAATCAATTATAGATCATTTAAATTCAAATATAGAAATGAAACCTGTATGAAAACACCAGTTAACACCTAAGGAATGAAGTGTATTTCAAGCATACCTTGCTCTGACTGTACTGTCCATACTGATAGGATGGATGGTGGTCCATGGCGTAGGCTTGGGCGGTGTAGGAAGGTGGGCAGTAAGACTGGGTGCTAGGCAGGGTGGGCATACTGGTCAGGCCTGGTAGAGCCTCCAAACGCTGGGAACCATGACAGCTGGCAGCCATGCCACCGTTAGGCTCCAGGCCTCCGGTCAGCGGGGAGAGGGCGAAGTCACTCTGGGCCTGGTGTGGCACTCCACCTGGGTTCAATAGGCCCATCACCTGAGGGGAGAAATGGAGGGAAACCGGGTGATTAGAACAGAAAGTCATAAAGTAATACTTTAGAATTTAATCGGCCAAGAAATTTCAAAATGAAAAATACATTTTTTTAAACTTTTGTTACACCATTCAATCAACTTTTTCACTCCACTCAGGTGGCCTTAAGTGTAGGCCTTCTCCTTGTCCGTCTGAAATACATTATTACTGGCTTCCCTCACACATATGGTTTCCCTTTACTCTGCTTGACTGATTGGGGAGCTGATGGTGGCTAAAGAGTTCAATCCTTTAGCCCACTAGAGGTTTCTGTTAGAATTATCCTGTCAAATTTATGTAGGATATTTTTTCACTTTTATTTGTCCTCATCGTGACACTTGTGGGCTTCTAGCATTTTTTTACGAATGGTATCGATAGAAAATAAGTAAGGAGTCTGAAACTTTGACTGATCATAATGTACGAAATCTGTGAGAATGCGTTGGGTTTTAAGAAGAATTCCAACAGATTTGTGTGTCTCCACTGATGTATTGGGTCTCTTTTCTTCTTCACTTTCTCCTGATGCCCGAAAATCACCGTGTCCTTGTGAGGCCAGGGTGAAGAGGCCAAAGGGTACGTGGGAACAAGGAGTAGGGTGTGTGTATGTGTGTGAGAGCTACCTCTCCTACGTGTGGAATTGTGTATTTAACAGTAGGTGTGTGTGTGTGTGTGTGTGTGTGTGTGTGTGTGTGTGTGTGTGTGTGCACGGTCATGTGTAATATAAGCATTTTTTGCTCTGGTGTGTAGAGAGAGGGTGTAGGGGTATCGGTGATACATCGTGAACAGCTGCACGTAGGTTTGCGTGAGAAGCAAAGTCACAAAAAAGTCTAAAAAGTTAAGTTAAAGAGCGAACAAAGGGAGGAGAAGAGTTACAGTCCATGAAGGAGAAAGTAGATCTCAAGCCTAGCAAAAAAAAACACAAATACACAGACAATAAATGGAAAGAAATGGAAAAAACAGTGATGTAAAAAAAAAAAAAATGGATCTTTCCCAGCTGACAACCAGCTGGCACACACATGTACATGCACACAATACTGAGGCAACCTCAGGTGTCTTTAATGTATGAAATTTACAGTTGGTCTGTCAGTGATCTGAGCTTGCACATCTGACGAACACCAAGCCATTATTTCTCCTTCTACTAAGGATGTGTGATATACTGTAAAATACAAAAGTCGGTCGCACACAAGACTCCCATCAAAATGTGAGTATTTATAGACGTAAGGAGCATGGATTCCAGAAAATACAAATCCGATTCAGCCACCCATAAATCTTGATGCTGCTTTAAAACAGTCAAATATGTCATTTCAGAACATTTTGTATTATATATTGAAATATTGAATTAAATTATTAATACGAACTTAAATATAACGGGTTTTTTTACCCCCCTTTGTTATCGAGTGGTGTTTAGCCATAAACACAACATCACACATTATAATGCGTGGTGTGTGTCTGTGAGTACATGCCTGTGTCAGAGGGTTTGTGTTTATCTACATGCCCGTGACACGGCAGCAGTTCCCGATGGTGTCTGTTTTGAGGTTGTTCCGGGGATTAGGTCTCAGGGGGGTGCAAATCCCGGCCGCTCGCTCGCTCGGTGAGAAAGGGTTCCTTTGGTATGCACCAGATCAGCGGTGAGACGCCAGAGACCCCGCACCACAGGGAAACCACTGGCCTGACTGAAGCTCCAAATACAGAGCTAACTGCTCAGACAACAATATCGGCTATCTAAAGTCAACCTTATCCATATCAAAACCCCAAAGCCCTCTAAGGTGACCATATCTGGAGTTAACTGAACCTCTAAGTCTCCTGATGGACACAGTAGCAGATAGAATAGCTTTCATAGACAGATTTGGAGTTGATATCTCCGGATAATTCCAGGGAGGATTTAACACAAAATAGACCAAACTGTATAGCTATTTGGGGAAAAAAAAATGAAGCTGTAAAGTTTTCCAAGTGCAGAGGTCTTCATGTATTGACTATGAATGTCATAGAATTTAATCAATCCTCATTTCCTCCCTCTTATTAAGTTAAAATCAGGGAATTAATTCTCTCCTCGTCTGAAATAGAGAAAACTGTACTGCAATATACATTCACACAGCTGCAATGAATACATGAATTAAAACAAATTAGCCAACAAAGTGAGTCATTTGCATAAATTACACACTTTGTTACAAGGGGATAGATTACTTCATTCCAATCAATTAAGACACTGGAACATTCTGTGATTGCTATTCCAGACTGAGAAAACATTCCAGGCCTGCCACCGTCCCCTTTTCGCAAGATGAGACGTCCACTCTGTACGGAGCTGCCCACTAAGGTTAATGCTGAAACCATGCATGAGGCCACAGCACCTTTGGCCTCTTTATTGGCGTTAAAGTCACTTGTGACCCTGTGGGTGTGTGAACTCACACACCACAGCCATGCGCTCAGCTACAGGAAGACAGATACTAGGTTTTCATGCCACTTGTGTTTCAACATAATTACGAGTTAAAAACCATCAACCGCTGACACTCGCATTTTTTTCTCCTGTCAACTTCACTCTCCCCCGTCTCTATACTATAATCTGTCCAGTGCAAATAAAAAATACCCAAAAGAATAACGATTTAAAAGTACATGTGGCTAATTCTTGAGGAGGAAACAACAAATTATAGTCCATCACTAGAGCTCATATATCAAAGCAGCCAATTATGCTGAGCCACAATGGTGCCACCTTCCGCTCTCTGACCGCGCACCCTGGCAGCCACAACAAAGATCTTCTTCTTTTTTTTAACATACATACATCCTTAGGCATTCACATCGTAGCAAACCTGCCTGAGGCAGTTTTTTTATCTGTGCCTGACAGGAGTCTGAGATTCTCTCTCATGGGAATTAGTACCCGGCATATATTGCATGTGGGCCGGCCACCCTTTGTGGCGATTAAAAGCTCGTTTTCCGCCTGTTAGTCCATCTTCTGGGCTGGTAGGGAGCCACTGATGGCCACTGATGACTGTGTAATCGACCATAATTGTCTTTTCAGTTTTGATTTGTGTCATCTTCCGACATCCATACATCCTTCCTCGTGTCTGGTCCTTTTTCCCCTCCCCGAAGATTGACGTTTGCCAGATTTTAAATTCATCAAACAACCCATCAGAATAAACAAAAATTAAAAGCTGCCGTATTTCTTCGCCGTACAAGGTTTTCATCAATGTCACTGCAATGACACCTCATAGGTCAAACACACAGTGTGTGTTTGTGTGTCTCATTATTCTTCCATACGGTGCAGCTCATAAAAGCCATGAAGAACTATTAGCGCCCTGTTTCCTGGTATGACAACATGTGTGTGTGGATAGGTGTGTGTGTTTAAGACAGAATGTATGTGTATATATGAGTATGTGCTTGTAAGCAGGTAATCATTGTGTTTCTACATTTCTATGTTGTATTGTGATAATGGATCTAGAGACAAACCTGTGGTGAGAGGCTGTTGGCGATGGTGGGGTTGACGGTGTTGCCGTGTCCTGTCGGGGTCACAAAGCTGTCCGAGTATCCTGAGAAGCTGTGACGTCCAGAGGACAGGCAGTACGCAGAGCTTCCGTCCTGGGAGCCAGCTGCCGAGCCGAGCCCACTCTGGTGCACGGAGGTGGGGGGCAGAGGCTGCGGTCTGTGGACTGTACTGGGCTGCTCGGATGCTGCGCAGAATAAAAACATTCTGCTTAAAAATCCCATTTTGCTTTCAACCAGAATACTTTTGCTGCTGCTCGAAGACGATTCCAGATTATGTGACATTTCTAAAGCACACGTTTTATGTATGTTTTTGAGTGTGTTCCGCTAAACACACCTATAGAAGTCGGAGTGTAGGGGCTGTCTGACAGCTGATACGATTGCAGGCCAGACATAGCTGAGGGAGGGAAACCACCGGGGATGAGGTGGTTAAACGCCATTAGCTGATTGGCTCCCGCCTGCTTCCTCCACCGGGCTCTTCTGTTGCTGAACCACACCTGAGAGGAGAACGGAGACAAGAGTGTTTGATGTTTATTCATGTGTCAACCCAAAAGAATAAGTTACTAAATTCACTTGTACAATACATATATGTCAGAGTGCTTGGTGCTTTTGAATGTATGTATGAATGTATGTATGTATGTAAGTATGTATGTAAGTGTGTGTCTGTTTGTGTGAGGCCTCTCTGACCCATTACAGGGAGCTGAACTGATGGAGATCTTAACATCTGGAGCATGCAGTAAAACCGCAGACATTACATCTTTGTGTGCTACTGCAAGGCAATGGGTTCAGAGGGTAACAGTTGTTAAAGCCTATATTAGTACATTATCTAAATCGGGCATCTATTTTGGGATCTTTCCACATAGCCCTTTTTGTACAGTGTCTGAGACAAATAGAGAGCCGTCTACATACACAGTGGTTGCAGTGTATCTGAGTTTGTCTGAGTCTGTACATGTGTTGAAGGGGTCAGGCGTGGGGTCGAGGGTGTTGGGGTGGGGGGTGGGGGACGACACATGTCTAATGGCTGTGAGGAATGTGTGGCAACAACCCACGTCAATTTAATGCCCACAAGACACATACCCATGACAGATCGACAAATTTCTCTGCTGTCAAGACTGGGTCTCGGGAACTTTGAGGTTGAAGAGGGCGTCTGTGCATGTGTCTAACCTGAACTCGAGCCTCCGTCAGTTTGGCCCGCTGAGCCAGCTCCTCCCGCGTGTAGATGTCGGGGTAGTGCGTGCGTTCGAAGGCCCTCTCCAGCTCCTCCAGCTGCTCCGCGGTGAAGGTGGTGCGACTGCGACGCTGCTTCCTCTTCAGAGGCAGGCCTGGCTCTGAGTCCACGTCGGAGCCCTCATCTGAGTGACTGGCTAGAATTGCAAAGCAAACAGTCTGTTACTTTCGACATTCAGGGGACTCGGGCTCAAAAAAGAATAAAACTTTGGTCTAAATACTAAGCTGGGACGGATTTGAGACAATAGGTTGTGCTGAGTACAACACATGGTACAGAGCAAATTTTGATTGTGTCCTCCTGCTCCCTTAAACTCCTCAGCGGTTCCTGAGGGGATCAAAAGCCAGAAGCTGCTTGAACATGGATTAGTGAGGACTAGATCCCTCTGGGGCATCTATTCCCTGGGACACTGTGTCTCTCCCAGTCTTAGCCATGCTGTGCGCTATGACGATAGGGTCCCATAGCAAAGAGCAGGCTGCCTTTTGCAGGTGCTTCTTAATCTGTTTGTTCAGTTGAAGGCAGGAGAGAGCGACTGGGTAACTGTGAGACAGCCATTGGGATCTAATTCAGCAGAAGAAGGGAATCAATGAGGGCTTGAGACTAGAGACAGAGGACTATTGCTGCCTTTCGGGGGGGAGGTTACCCATCTATTAAGTAATGATTAGGCTCCAAAAACTAGTGTGACAGCCTGCCATTGTCCCCCATCTCTTTCTCAGTCATACGCACACTCACAAACATGCATCTGCTGCGTCTCGGCTATAGGCTTTCACCCAGTGAACGCAGTCTATGACAATGTGTCAAACACAGATGGACACAAGACAGAGAGAGTTAGAATCCACTCCCAAATCCAACCCCAGAGGGACCTCTTAAACCTCATGAGGAAGGTTCACTGCACCTTTTTTGAAACTCAGACTATGCAGCCAACACCAAAAATAAGAGACTCAAAAGCAGACAGACAGGTGTAAGTCACAAAAAGGTTTCAGCAGAGGACTGAGGCTCGTCTGTTTCTCCAGACTGCTCATTCTCCCTCTGCCCTCCAGATTCAAAGCTTTAATTAAAAAGTGCCAAGTCAGACATGGAGGGGGGTAGCAGGGATCTCCCCTTGCCTCTGGAGCCGCTGGAGCCAAGCAGGAAATGTTTGTGCCGGTTGCCAGTGTGTGTCTGACCAGGCATTACACACGGATTTGCTCCCTGGGAATGCTGCTGTGCTCCAGGCCGCCAGCACACAAGATTCTGATGCTGAGAAGAGCTCTTTATTACATTCGAACCAAGGGCGCCACGCTGGCATCAAGTCTCAAAGAGGATTGGCTGGATGCTTAGATACTCCTGGAACGTGCACCGCGAGTCGGGATGTGGTTTCTTTAGGTAACGATGTGGCCCGAGACCAGTTGGAGCAAATTTCTAAGCGCAACAGGCATAAAGAGAAGGCCAAACACAGCATGACAACTTGATACTTTTCCTGTAAGCACATTTTTAATACATCAATATTGTTTGGATTAGTAAGTCAAACTTCCATTTATCAGCAGGTAAACAACACTAAAGAAGCCTAACAACAAACAGCAAAGCAAAGTAACACGCAATGTCATTAACATTTTAATGACGGAGGAACGGAGAAAGAAACAACAAGACGGAGAACCAATGACGGAGCAGAAACGAAAAGATTCCTGAGGGAGGGAAGGAGAGCTCATAAAACACAGAGGAGAAAGCTCCCCATTGGCACTGTAACTCATGTTAACTGCAGGGTGGGGGTGGATCTCTCCTCCTTTGCCCCCTTTATTTCTGTCTTTCCCTCTCTTTTTCCCCTCCCTGTTTTTATTATTAGTAACTACAGAGAAAACACTCCGTCACAGACTCTCCCTTAATGGCAAATGACATTGTTGCCTTTGTCATCCTCTGGCTTGCACTTTCTCTTTTGCTCTCTTTCTCCCGTTCTTTTTTTGGGTGTTGTGTGTCTCGTTCTTTTTTGGAAGTGATGAAGCCAAGCCTTTGTATCTTAGCAGGGAAAAGCCTGTGGCAGGCCTCTGTTGGACCGATTACCACGCTCCATCTGTAGGAGCCATCAGGGACGCCCGGGCCCGCATTCAGGGGTCTGTCACCTGCCCAGCAGGGGAGTGCGGGGCGAAGGGGGAGGGGGGGGGGGGGGATAGGGGGGGATGGGGGCTGTAAGGCCAGGGGCTGAGTGGGGGAATGAAGGGTGGGAGGGAGAAAAGGGGGGGCACAAAAGGGTCCAGAGAAGGGCCACTGGGGGCTGTGGAGGGGCACAGCAGGGGAGCACCCCTTCATCCCCTCCCTCCACGGCCCGAGGGGCACGGAGCTGGGGGGGATGGGGGAGTTGAAGAGGTTGACATGGAGAGGAGACGTGAGGACGAAGGCACCTGAAGAAGATGCTGGGGAAGGGGTGTGGGGTGCCAAGCTAAGGAGAATGGGGGTGCTGGTCATTCATAAAAGCGAACCTGTCCTTTCCATCTCATCCATTCACTTCACTTCTCTCTTTCTGTGCGCTCACCCGTCGCTGCATCCACATCTTTGACATCTTCAAACAGGGCTCTTATGCTGCGGTGGATTGATGTTAAGGCAAGCTGATGCAGAAGAGGACTCAGAGAGGGTTGTTCCCACACATTCCCCGCGACAAATGGCAGAAGAGGATACTAAAACACACAAAGGGAGGCCTCGACCTCCTTACTTAAACACCCAAATCAAATTTTACGCTGCAGCTAAAGCACTAGGGAGCTGAAAATACTCCATAGCCGCTCACAGTTTGTCCGTGGCCCTGACAAGAATCTTAATAGAAAGATAGATTATTATCCCTCAAGCGGAAATTGGGGCTGCTGGAGAGTTATCCATAAAACGGACGTTTCAAAACAAAGTAAGGTGTAGACTAATCACTAGATATCGCTAGTTTAGATAGAGTAGTTTAGAGCAGTAGATTTATTTAACTTAGCTTGGAGGTTATAGCACAGTTTAGCGGAGTATTCAACAAGTGAATTCAACAGGTTCCTTTCCCTGATCAGAGACTCTTAAATTACATTAAACAAGTGCATTTACAAGTGCGTATGTGCACACAACCACAATGTACACACACTCAAAGACCAGCAGTACAAAGGACAGCTACCGACCAACCACTCGAGGAAAACACAACCCTTTATTGATCAAGAGAGGAGACTGACATGCAGGGAAGATAAACTCCAGAGGGTCACAGATGTGAACGTCAGTCCCATTAGCTTCACCTGCCCCGACAGTACTGCCTCGAACGGGCCAAAAAAAAAAAAAAAAACAAGTGAAGATTCCAACTGCGAGGATAAAGACTGCTCTTGTTTACTGCGTAGTCTGCATCAGCCAAGACTCGCCTTGCCAAGCATTCAGCACCCCCTCCCATGTGTTCAAGTGACGTTAATACGAAGAGGCATGCACAGACGCACACATCCGTGTATATGCACGCAAAATCCGTAGCTTGAAATGGCACAAAAGTGAACGGAGGTGGAAAGAGTGACAGAAAGTGCGAGAGAGAATCAGAATAGGTATTAAAGGAAGATAAAGATGCAAGAAATCGGGAGAGGAGAGAAGGAATGAAAGGAAAGGAAAGGGATGAACAGCCTCAGTGAGAAAGAGAAAGAGAAGCGGAGCATATGGGGCAGTTTATAGCCTTGTCTTGGTAGGGGCTGGCTAGCCCTTCCTCCAGGGGCTGTTAATAGAGAAGGTAATTGAGCTGGTGACATGTGTTCGCAAAACAAAACAAAGGGCAGAAGAGACAAATGAACTAGTTATTTGCCCAGGGAAGTAGATCTGGCCCTTTCAGGCCACAGAGCATAGTGCGAGTGGGCCACTGAATAAAATAGTGGCATGCTACATAGAGCCAGATCGAGCAGATGCACTGGAGGAAAAGAATAGTTAACTGACAGCTTATGGGCTCAGCTGGGGTTAACAGTTAAGGGAAAAATGGGAGTGAGTGGGCTGCTCACTTGACTTACTAAAGAGACCCCAGGATCCCGCAGCTGCCTGGGAAAAGAGAAGGGGGGGCGGGGGGGGGGGGGGGGGTGTAGATATAGAGAAAGAGAGCCGTGGATGATGATGGGATGGACAGAAAAAAAATGAAGTAAATAAGCGCAGGAGGTTGGCACTTACCAGACAAAGAAAGAGCTGGCGATATGACTTTGAAAGATGTATCTCTGTCTAATATTGGTGACGTGACAAAAAGCCACAAATGGCCGTTCATGGCTATTATGAGTGCCCAGTGTGCGGTGGTTATTATTTAGTTCCACCGTGGTGCAGTTAGGTGACAGTTTCACGGTGGCATTTCCACCCTCGGGGCACGGACAAAGCAACACCACAGAACCCACGCAGGGACAAAGCAACAGGCCAGTCTGCCGCACGTTCCAGTCAAACGGGCACTAACCAGCAGAGCTCCCACCTCAGTCCGGCCTCGTTTGGGCCAGACAGACATAAGCAAGCCAATGACCTCGCTCTGAATAACCAGCATACTCTCTGAAAACTGCAAACGCCTATACTTGAATTCACGAAACAGATACAAGCCTATAGGATCCTAAAGTGGAGGTTATTAAAAGCACTGATGATTGGCTGATCTGAGTTTAGGAAGTCTGTCAGTTGTCATCTTTTCCCAAACATTATTGTAACCTCCCTTTCCTGGGGCCTGATAGTTTTACCAGTCAAGTGACCCTAGGTTAGCCCCTGACCTTTTCACAGCTACTGCACAGCTCTGCGGTAAAGACGGCCTCGCCACTAAACGTGCAACAAAACTTCACACACTCAACAGAGAGAAAAGCCCTCCTCACATTCCACGCTTTCATTTTATACCTTACAGTCACTCATTAAAAGGTGCGTTTCTACTGGTCATTTGAGCTTTTTGTGCACATTTGCAACTTTATTTGTCGCTCTAATGCCTGTGTTTGGACAAATGTAGCAAATAAATTCTGGAACTTATAACATATATATTTTTTAAATATCTTATATCCTACATTTCTGTTGTTTTTTTAGTGGATTTCTTTGTTCAGAGAGGGGAGAAAAAAGACATTAATCAAAACAGAAACAGGGCTGTGCTGGCGTGTCCATAATGTGCAATGTGCTGGACGAAACAGCTCCACAAAAACTGAGGCTAAACAAAGTTAAGTGATTGACAACGCTGTCTGGCTTTACTCAATTAACTATCCTATTGTGCTCCTCTTTGCAGAGTCCCCTCGCCCCCGACCCTTTTCTCCTCACACTCCTTTATCCTCCCCATCACAGAGTTTTGCTTGGCTAATACTTCCAAGGAAATAGAGAGCTCTTTTTCTACTGGGGCTCCTCTCCTTGACCTTCCATTGCTCGCTGCTTCTCTTTCAGTCACTTCACAGTGTCTCTGGGGTTAGTGGGGAGAATGCGGAGAGTACATCAGCGCCGAGGGGCCGGCTCAGGGCAGGACCCCGGCCCATTACTTCAAAGTTGGCCTGCATTCATTAATTGTCCTTTGAATTAATATTGGAGGATCACAATGCGGGTGCCAACAGAGAAAGAGGCTTTAATGAAGCATAGAGTCTGCATTCAGTTGCAGATCAGCCAGTGTGGATTTTGTCTCTTGCCTTTTGAGTCATGCCAACACCGAACGTAAAAGTGTTGAGTATTTATATTTGAGAAGGGTGACAGAGAAGGGGCTGTGAGTTATCTATCTGTCTATCTGCCCATCTATCAAGGGAAGAAATATATACAGAGTGAATTTTGGTTTGTTTTTCACTTAACAGTCCACGAGGCTAAACCGGCATTATATGCACTATTAACACAGGAAAACACAGAGTGAGGCCCACATATAAAATTCTCTATTATCCGGCCCTGAGAGCAAAATGGAGACGTGGCTGTATAGCGGACATTCCTCTGGTTACATTGAGGTCTTCTGTCTCCTCTAAACCTCCAATCTTCAACTCAAGTCACCGTGGAAATGCAAGGACCCCTGACAAAGACACAAGTCGTAGAGATTTAACATCTATCTCTCTGTTTACAGTTGTGGGTTATTGCCGTGCCGCTCGGTCGGTTTTGCTCGCTGCGTGTGAGAGAAACCATATCTGTTTGTATTCTTAGATGTCTGATGGGAATATAAGTTGTGAAACTTTAAAATTGGATTAGATGGCTTGCATGTGGCAGCTGCTCATGGACGTTTGCTGCCGTCATCATTTTTCCCCCCTCGGGAATATATTAGCAACAAGTTTGAACTGCTTTAGCATATGGTAAACTCTCGAACACAAATATGTATCTTTCTGCTCTCCTGTTACTTCCCTCACTCTAGATCCATGCCAAAGTCACGGGGAGCCAGTAACCCAGTTTATTTACACAAACAAAGTCCTACTCAGCTCCTTTGACAAAAGCAGCTAAATCTTTCATGTTTTGTCAGCACTTGATTCCTCCTGTCCCTCTGGCTATTTGCCTGCCTGCGGACAATAGAGGCAGGAGAATGGCAGCAGATTGTTGGAATGCACCTCAATGAAACCAATTATTACATGTTGACTGCGTTCACCATGGCAGATTTGAAAGAACTAGGCTCATTCAATTTGGCACCACAGGATTCCCTTTAAAGAAAAGTTATCCCTTTGACTGTTTGTATTTCTGAGCTTTCTTTTTCTTCTTCTTCTTTCTCCCTTTCACCCCCACTGCCATAAATGGATCCTGCGAGAGTAGCTACTCCTCTTTCATGACTTTGGCTACTTTAATTCGTTAAATGAGGCTAAAGTGCTAGCAATAATAAATAGAGGAAAGGATGCTATCTATTAATTCAGTACCACTCGTGGCAAAAAAAAAAAAAAAAGAAGAAATCTTGGCATCATTCAATCTTCAGATTAAAATGATGTACCAGAGATACACTGTGCACTGCTTTGTTATGGCCAAATGTGGTAAATGCCACGAATAATTCTTCTCAAGCTTGCAGCTCAACCATGCATGCTGTTTAAATTCTCTACACAGGAGTAAATTCCACCTCCATAACTCAACAGTTCAAGGAGTAGTAAACAACTTAGCATCAGATTCATCCCAGCAAGCATCCTTTTCCCACAATGCTCCGGCCTGCTAATGCCATGCAGACCCAGGGCTGCCCATATACTTTATCCCACAAACCTTAGCGGTCCTTTTCCCAGACAAATAAATCTAAATGAGTCAGCTTTGATCTTAGCACTTAAGGAAAGACAACAATAGTGGTCGTGGAGAAAGGGGCAGAGAGCAACAGGCCTCTCTCCACCACGACAATAGCCTCTGCAAACACCTACTTAATCAATATTTGGCCAGAAGACACTCTCTCAGTCCCCAAACCACCCTTTTCTCATTCTAATGAAGAGCTATAAAAGAGAAAAACAACAACTACTTCCACAAAGAGACACAAGAATGAAATAGTGCTGCTCTGTATATCAATGGGGGAAAGTGCCTCAGAGCTGTTTACATGTAGGATGTCACCTATTTGATGTAAAATAGCTAATGTTATTTGTTTTCTTTCAAAAAATTCATACCAACCAGAAAGTATTAATTATTTATATTTTTAAAAAAAAGTTTTTTTCTCATGTTTTCTAAGGTTTGTGTCAAACACACTTAGGGTTTAGTTTGTCAAACAAACAAAAAATTGTTGAAAGAGGACGATAAACAAAGGGTCAAAGCAGATTCATCTAAGAAGCATGCATCCTAATTATCGATTGCAGTAATCTGATTATTAATAAAAGTTGTTTTGTTTGTTTCGCAGTAATGAGTTTGAAAAGTCAGAGAAGTCCACCGCCTGATCCTGGAGATGTGTCTCCCCGAAAGAAGGAGAGGGAAGTGCCCACAGATACCGCATGAATGTGCGCGCCCTGGGCGGAAAGGAAAGGGGCGGACTTTGTCTGAGATGAAAGTGGGGAGAAATAAAAGGTTTGGATTTAATCTAGTGGAGAGAAGGGTTTCCCTGCGCTCACTGGCTGAAGGCGTCACGCTCACTGAGCAAAGACTGTGAGACAAAAGCTCCGTGCGCAAAAGTAACGGCACCGTTCAATTTGATAACGCGAGGGACGTGAATTCAACACACTGAAGGCAAACGACCGTTTTGCTGCCAAGTGCGTTATAGCTTCATGCGTATTTTTCTGTTATCATATCTTACAAAATGGAATAGTAAAACCAAATCTAAACAAAGCTACAACAATTGGCACCATGAATGAATCTGCGCGTCATTCCACGCTATCGCCAAAAGACTACCATTGTTTCTGGATGTCTAGTCATCAATAATTAACTACAGATTGCAGTATGTCTCCAACAGCAACCTCTCATTTTGCGGCAACACTCCTCAGACCCCAACAGGTCGTAAATCAACAGGTGTTTGCTTTAAGTCGGCGCGGTTTTTTCCTGTATTTTTTTTCTCAATGAAAAACTGACAGCAGTGGGGAAAAGCTCCCAAAAATTGGCACTTTTTTTGAGCAGTCTATAAACCAGGTCGCACCGGGCCTATTGGTGTCCCTGAATAATTCATCGCTCATTGCGGGTTCATAATGTCTTCTCCCGGCCTTTTGTCAGCGCAGTTTTTTCTCCCTTTCTTTCCCGTTTTGAAAGGCCCTGGCGTCTTTTTTGTACAACACTGAGCCGCTCACTGGAGTTTGGCTTTTGTGCTCGTCAAACTGAGGTGTGAGTCTCAATGGACTCTCCCTGCTTTGTCCCATGAAGTTCATCCTCAAGTGTCCGATTGTGTGTAAAAAAAAAAAAAAAAAAAAAAAAAAAAAAAGTTTCTCAGGCTTGGAAGTTAGACAAATGTTTGATTATCCACTTAGAAAAAACGACCCTGCACATTTGTTCAACCTCAGACGCCTAAATGCATGCGTAAACACCTGGGACTTTAATGGATTTAACGTTTTTGAGCAGGTTAACTAAAAACAGTCGACTACGATAAATTCCATATCTATAAATACCATTTCAATTAGCACGTTGCCAATTATTTGTTAGTGTTATTATTATCATTATTATTGTTATTAAAAGTGTTCTGTCTAAGCTGACAATTAAATCGCAACCATCCACATACGTCCTCGTTCCTTCAGTTCGCCGCATTTCTTTGGGATCGTAAAGCTTACAGCAAGACGTCCCTCTTATAACGTTATAATGCTGCACTTACATCTGTCTCCCAGGATGCCATCGATACTGTGTTTGGTCCGTGGTTCGTTCTCCTCCATCTCCCTCTTCACCACATCATCATCCTCCTCTTCATCATCACCGGCTCCGCCGAATTTAGACCTCATGATGCGACTGATGGCGCTCACTTCGAAAAAGAAAAAAAAGATGAAAAGAAAATGAGGTTCCACAAGAAAACAAAGGATGTCCTGCATGCAAACAATATTAACACGTGCGTCGATGGCTATGTTCACATGTATTCTAATTGATATGGTATTAAAAATGTTTGTTTTTTTAAATGTAAGTTAAGAGGAAAAATATTTGTTATTTCTTGAGGCTCCAGAAACGATCGCCTACCTGAGGGAACGTTGTTCCTGTCGCAGACCCCATCTTTCAGTAATTTGTCTCTGATTTCCCAGCTGAACATGCCCGGGTTTTCTCTCTTGTACTCTTCGATCTTCTTGTCCACCTCTGGAGAAGAGGTTTGCTTTGATGGGAGGAAGGAAAGAAGAAAAGTTTGTCATTTTTAATTATTGTTTTAGGTCCAAGGTTTCCATTACAGCCAAGACAGAAATGTTTAATTATTTTTCACACATTTAAGAATTTGGATAGAGTTGTGACACATTCAGAGAGATTGTTTCACTTAGTAGAGGATCTTAAAGTCAAACTTGTTCAAGTTGCAATATATCGACAAAAAAAAAAATTTCAACAAAGGTCTCGTTAAACTCCATGACTTTCTTTAGATTTTTTTAATAGATTATTTATCCTCTGCGTTTCACATTGTACGCTTTTAAAATGTGATTTTCCTACCGAGTGAAAACCTGGAATTTAAACCACAAACATAACACAAACATTCTCCAAAACATCACCGGCCGGGCCGTATATCTCTCACCTTGGGCTTGCTGCCTCCGATGGCCCCCGGCCTGATGGAGCCTGTCTCCTGGTACCGGCACAGGATTTTGGAGACGCAGCCGTGGGACACGCGCAGCTGACGGGAGATGACACACGGACGGACACCGTGATGTGCCATCTCAACAATTTTATGTCGGATGTGGTTGGGGAGAGGTCTGCCGTTTATGAAGACACCACCGAGCTGGTTGACCCGACCCTGTCCTAACGGAGTGGAGACTGCACGGACGTGCATGGGCTTCAGTTAGTTGAGTGCTCATAACATGTACTACACACAATGTGTGTTGTCTTCAGAAACTGGTTCAGTTTTAGTGGTGAGAAACAACTCTCAACCTGATCACATACCTGTTGGATATCATCCACGAGAAGTAACACTTTTAAAGCGCAATCAAATCATCTTAGAGGCTATCTATACATTACATTTTCCTAAAATAAATATATTTTTATTGCAAGTGGCATGAGAAAACAAAATCATTTGCTTTCAAACAATTGTCAGTTATGTCTCTCCCAATTAATGTGATACCTTCAGACATGATACCACTTTAAAAACAACAAAAAATAATAGCATATAAATAAATACAATATGATTTTTTTTTAAAGGCACATCGTGTTGAAACTGGAAATATCGACTTATCCCGGGATCGTTTTTATTTGGTTTTCAAACAGATATTTATGCTAAAACTTTTTAAAACAATAATAATAAACAACACGTTAATAATAACATGTTTTTTACAGGGAAACGTTATTTTTTTTTTTCAGAACTCGAGTTTGTCAACTTTGCTGAAGTTTTCGAAAAGTTGGATTTTCTTCAGACAGCGAGCAGCAACTGGTGGTGGTCTCTTACCTTCCAGAGAGTATCCTCCCCGCGGATAGTTCTGGTGAGGAGTCGGTCTCATCATTCTCGGTAAACCTCCTGCAAGCGCTGTCATGATCCCTGACTCTCTGTCAGGTAACAGTTTAAACGAAGCTGCCTTTGTTTGTCCTTTTTAATCCCACAAAATCACCCTTTTTGTTTGTTGTAATACCTCGTCTTCTCTGCAGCCCGCCTTTTCCTTGAGTAACAAGTTGAATCGGGAAGAGCAACACCCCTCAGAAATGAGAAATGTTGTTGACTGGTATCCGGTGGCAGATGTGGGCTGAGGTGAGAGTTTTAAATCAAAGAGCAGGTCGCTAACGGTCCTGCGAGGATTGAGAGGATGGATGCAAGTCAAACATTTTATCTGTACTCGCAGTCCCCTCTGGCTCCTGCGCTGCGCCTCCCGATTGGTCAAAGACCCGGACGTTCGGAGGCTGGGAGAGCGTTGCGATTGGACAGCGGGAGCTCCCCTTCTGTCTGGGTTGACCTCACGAGGTCAGTTTGTGGTGTCACACGCTTCTGCTGCTGCGCACGATACTTTTCACGAAGTGAAACTTTGAATAAAACCAATGAAATAACTATTATGTTATTATATACGATGATGTGTCCCTGCCTGTGCTGAAATATGAATTATGCTCCTCATAGTCTATGGTAGTATCGGGACACTGTTGGGCGTATATGTGGAAGAAACTTTAAGCTGGACCAGTAAAGACAACAATGCATGTTGATTGTTATTTGTATAAAACAAATCAAAAAACTATACCACCATATGTTAGAAAATACGCAAAATACATTGTATACAAATGTTCTTATAGCCTTCTGCATTTATACTTGGACCAGACTTCCCAGATGCACACACACAATCTTTCATATTATTTCCCTGACTCAAACATATTAAGAACAAGTATTGTTACTAGCATTATCATGATAAATATTAGTAGTAGTAGCTTGTTGTTAATGTTGTAGTTTTTATTAGCCTATGCTTTTTAAAATTGTTATTATATTATTTCCGTTATAAATGACAAATTAAATGAAATAGGCTAATTGACAAATGTGGATTTCTTTTCTTGGCATGGAGTCAGACTTCATGGACAGGACGTTTACGTGAGGATATTTCATTAGAGAGAAGATATGCACATACTGAGCAGCACCTATTAGTGATACAGTTACTTGCTATGCGCACTCATTTCTTTGCGCAGAAACTGCAGCAGCATATAGGAAATTGTTCATCATCGACTTAAATATTTGATCACTCTGCAAAAGAGAATATTATAACCGTGGCACTTGACAATTATTTTAATGTGGACAAAAGTTATTTTCGTATGACATTTTTTTATTTTTTTTGTATAATCCTTATTATTATATAGCTATTACTAATCAACTTTAGCCCACACACTGATCATCACGTCTAGAGTCAGTTTGTATTGAGACATTAGTCTGTAGCCTACTGTAAAAATCTTTGTATTTGGTCACTTTAGTAAATGCCACCGCGAATGGCATGACATATGTGATGCTAACTAATTATTGGTTTGCATGAGTTGTTATGTATTTGTACTGAAACATACATTTGGCAGCAAACCCGTTAGAGAGAGGCGGTGTGTAATTTATTTTTCTTTAATCAACTATAGATGCAAAAGAGTTTCCGTCTCGCAGACAGCGCACACACACACACACAGTACACGTTAGGAGAGAGATATATGCATGGATGCGGCGGAGAGGAGGATCTATGTTTTCTTCGAGTTCCACCACACCCCACGCAAAAGCTCTGCACGGTCATCTAGCAGTTGTATGAATTTAACAATAGGTGCCGCGCGGACCCGTGGCTCAGCCACACGGCAGTGTAACACATCCGTGCAAATGGTCGATTATAGACACAGAGAACCACATGAGGGATCATTTGACTTTTCTGAAGCTTGTGGAGTTGTGATAATTATGATAATTAGGCGTGTTTAATAGACCGATACATTTTTTCTTCTTCTTTCCCCCCAGGAATAAGATCATATATATATATATAGGCGACTGGCTGATTCGGTTCAGAGGCCTCCTCAAGCTGCACACCATGAGTGACTGGTTGGTCACGACCTCTCTAAGACAAACTGATGCATCATCAGTGCTGACGTTCTAGCAGGCAATTCATTGATCACCATCAGATTAGTCACTACTTGCTGCCTTATTGTCTAAACCCAACAATGATGAATTAACGATGTTGTCACAACCTCATGTAGAGGATGAATTGAACCTCATACACATATAATATAATATAATTGAATAAGCAAAGCCAGCTGTTTGGTGCAACTGTTGTGACAGATTTTTGTTTGCTAAAAAGTGAATAAACACCAAATATTTATGGGACGCAAGGGTTGTAAGATGACATTTGTTTATCCATGTTTTACTAGAATTTGACCCAACATTATAGCAGCAGAGAGTCGTCTTCCTGTCCCTTTAATTGCACTATGTGGCCCAATATTTTTTTTTTATTCCTCCTGTAAGACTTCATGTAAAAAAAAAAAAAAATGGTCCAGTTGACACAGAAATGTGGAAACATTATACGTCCATAAAAGAAGGAATGGGGAGCAGGGAAGAAAGTTATCATACTAAAGTTTGACTATCATGAAAAGGATATTGGATCTACCATGTCAAATCAATTAGTGGAGTAAGCTGAGTCAGAAATGCACTGTGGTGGACAAAATGCATCAAAAATAAAGAACAAAATGGCCCCCGAAACGAAATACTCTGTTGAATTTGCTCCGCAGACGCATAGAATAAGCCAGGGGCTTTCGATGCTGTATTTCTGAAACCGCACTTTAAAAAAACCTGAATAATTAGCTCTGCGTCCAGTAAAGATAAAGTTAGTCTAACAGCCTAACAACCCATAGGCCGTATTGATCTTGGCTGTGGCCCTAAAGCGATAATGTCCTGCCCTGCATCAGACTACACGGCCTATTTAGAGCACTGGAAAAAAATCTCCATTCTCTCCAGAGCTATACTTACAATACTGCTCAGTATTCACGATAAACGCCACACCACCAGATCAAAAACAGATAGACGTTTGTAGTCAATCAGATCATCACAGTGATAATCTGACCATAAACTAGAGGGAGCAGACATCTGACTGAAGGAACTTCCATTCATTCTCAACATTAAAACAGTCAGTCATGCATTCCTAAGTGTAAAAGGCACACTGTCACTGTAGCAGGAACATTACAGCTCTAGCTCACTGTGACAAGCCGAATGACAGATACCTTAAGATGCTAACCCTAATTTGCATTATTCATTGGCTTTTTATAGAGGTTTTACAATGTTAGAATGAGAGTCAGTTGTAAAACAATGTGTGCTTAACCTGTGTTGGTCTTTAGAGAATCATGCCACATGCTGTGAGGGAATTTTGATTAATGTGCCATAATGTCTGTTTCCATACTGCAGTCGCCCACAGAGATCTAACTAGTTGAGGCTTTGACTCAAGAGCATTACTTCTGCCAATTCTCTCTTTGCTATAATAAACACAGGTGTGGAAATAGTGTATTATACTATTTCTTGGCCACATGTTACGCAGACATAAAGCTGCAGTCTCTCACTGTATACTCGTTGGAATACATTTCATGAAATAAGTTTTGCATTTGTAAATGTTTGTGTAAACGTAAAGGATCGTTTCTGCATTTCTTTACGTATTAAATCTTAATGCGACACACTGTGTTTTATGTTAACACTGGAAAGAGGGGAACAGAAAGTGTGGTTAGTATGCCCTTCAAAAAGAATTGGTGTGCATCTGATTTTAGTTTGACTGATTGTGATATACTAATTTATGTTTGGTGTTTTGTCTTTATCCCCCTGTAGCAGTTCAATGACTATTGAAAAGAGCTTTGCATCACAAAGACTACAGAGCAGACATTGTGTGAAATAGGAGAAACAGATTAGAAGAATGGCCAGGCCGACATTTAGATAAGCGTCTCAGAAAAAAACATTGCATCTTCAGAATAAGGAAGTCCACTCTGTGATTAGTAGCCTTGGGGTGTTACTGTTACCAGGTACTTCCAAAAGACGCACTGTTTTTCTCATGTGTTTGATCTTATCAAATACATATGACCCACAACACTCTATAGTGGAAACTCAAACTGAGGGCAGTTATCATAACAAAGAGCCATAAGGTGCACCCAGGTGAGAGAGAGAAAAGAAAAAGATAAGCGGAGCATTGGTTAACCAGGCAGCCTCTGGGCATGCAGGGTTACGTTAATAGTTCGGTGAAGTAAATAAATAGTGAGCTAATAGTTTACGGTCCCATGATGAACATGCAGCGGTACCTCCTGGAAGATTCTTATCTGTCCTTCAAATACACTAGGCCTTTACTCTAGTGTGCGTGTGTGTGAAGGAGAAGACATATCCAGCACAATATTATGTAAAGAGTGAGTTTGCAAGTGTGAAAGATACTGTATCTTTCCCACTGATGGGTTGAAAATGTGTGCAACTTGCCATTAGTCAAGTACATATTTTCAAGGATCACACATTTTATGTCCTTGTGTTTTGTTTATTAAATACACATCAGAAAATATAGCATTAAAAAAAACATAACAAAAGATGTCTATCTCCCGACAACTGTTTTCATAGCATTAAACATCTGCAACATAAACAGTTTGAAAAATATTTCTATTCAATCAAACATTCTCATTCTACACGGCATCCTGGATTTCCAATTACATCTGGTTGATTGTGAATTATTTAATTCATGAAATGTACAGGTTTAACATTGATTCCACGATTAACATATGATGAACATTACTATGTTGTCTTTCTCACCGACTCTCTTCCTAATGTAACAGCATCTTCAACATGATTATTGTTTTTGTTAATAACTGTAACTCATTACAGTTGCTACACTGTTAAAACGAGCTGCATGTAATTGTATGTGACTGTAATCCGGTTAGACACAATATGCTACTATACCCAGGCATAATCACTGTACAAACATGCATGCATCAATTCAGCCACAAGAGGGCACACGACAGCTCAATTGACTGGGACGCCATGAAACCCACCAACCTCGTTTTAAAAGGGATATTTATCTAATCTGACAAAGTGAAATTCTTTAAAAACGCAATACTTCACTTAGAAGATCGCTCATGTGTGATGAAATGATGCTATTACAGCTATTTTTTAATCAAATATAAATCCACAATTTCTCTGTACACAACCTATTATCAAGGTTTTAATTCTCAGTCAATCAAGAGCAGAGGAAAAGTTCCACACTTCTTGACCACGACTTGATCTCCCAAGAGGAATACATTTTAAGATTAGTTCGGCTCTCGCAAGAATATTTCAGAGTGCATTTTTATGGCCCACAAAGCCATATCCAGATGTGATAGTGATAGTGAAATGTGATAGTGGTTTATTTATGGTTTGGATGCTGCAGATGTTGTAAAAAACCTTTCTGGATATTAAGAGTTGTGTCCAACCGTGTCATAACAGGGGTGGCTTGCCTTGGAAAAATGGGGTAAACACTGTGCTGTGCGTATAGGGTTTCCAAACCCTTGAAAAATGCAGTTATGAATTTAACATAAATAAATCTGTGTGTGCTGGTCAGATAGTCTTTGTAGATGTAGAATCACGTTTTAACTTGAGTGTTGAGCTAAGGGACTTTGAAAGTGTGTGGAAGACGAGGCCTCATAGCATGAAAGGCTGAGACAAATGCCTTTCCTGCCGATCTTAAAGTTAAGCACGAATCACAGAAGGACAGCACATCCAACAGAGACTGACATCTAGCATGGTATTTAGATGCAGCTGAGGGTGTCGCCGCTGATCGCACTGCTCGGCGCTGTCCACTGCTTGTGGTGCTGAAAAGCAAAGGGACAAAAAAACTAAAACACGATGCTCTTTATTGTCGCTGCGGGCGCTAAATTGTAATTATACGGTTAAATAGGGCCAATAAATCCACTTTATACACGTGACCCACACTTGTGACAAATCGACCAGGTGACACAGACCAGATTAGATAATCAATTTGAACAAGTATATCGCCTGGATGGTTTAGTTATGGTATTCAGCCTATAGTCTGCCCCTGTCCACGGGTTGTGCCCCGGGCCGGTGACGCAACAAGTCTCGGTGATCGGACAACCGGAATAATCCACGACAGCTGACTGGACTGACTCAAACCGGGAAATCCAGGGAGTTTTTTTCACTTTACAACGTTATATTGCCATCCGGAAAATAGTCCACAGTATGCTCATTCGTGTAAAAACAACAGCGTAGTGAAATACAGTTTCTGTATACCCAATTAGACCCAACATGGCGGAGGCGGTCGCTACGGGAGGCGAGCGTGGCTCGGCTCCGCCTGACGGGACCGACTCGTCCCCCGGCGAGGACTACGAGTGCAAAATTTGCTTCAACTACTTCGACCTGGACCGCCACGTTCCCAAACTGCTGAGCTGCTCCCACACCTTCTGCCTCGAGTGCCTCGACGCTCTGCACTTCCGGGAGGGTCGAGGATGGAGAATCGGCTGCCCCGTGTGTCGCCGCAGAACTCCGGTGCCGGAATATCGGGTTCGTAACCTACCCGACGACAGCGCGTTGACCGAATCGCTCCCGCTCGAAACGCGTGAGGCTGTGGTCTCATCAAACACGGCTGTGCAGACAGGCTCGGCCGGCGTCTCTTCAGCCACTTCCGCAGAGAGCGACGGCGGCTGTCAGACGTGCAAACAAGTTGCGTTCATGACCGGCTGCGTGTGCGCCATCTTTTCTTTCCTGTCCATGGTGGTGCTCTTATTTCTGGGCCTCATCTTTGTGCATAACTTCGATAACACCGCGTGGCCCGTGGGCCCCATCTGTTTGTTTGTTGCCAGCGTCCTCGCCCTGGTCTCGCTCATTCTCACGTGGTTGGTGTGCACGTTGAGGTACCGGTCTGAAACTGACGCAAGCAACTTCGGTTCCTTCACTTCTAATGCAATGTGATTCTCCGGCTGCAGAGCTGGGATACACAAGCTTAGCCTTGTCAGGATAATTCAACTGAAATCTGTTCATTTATTTCAGTGTGCACAGGCATCCTCGTGCCTTCAGTGTTCGTGGACGAATGTCTTGAATTTGGAAAAGCACAGGTGTAAATAATAAAATCATTGATGACTGAATTCCGTTTAGCTGCTGCCAGACTTACTGGGACACTTGAATGGAACAGAGCCATCGTTGATGTTATTATCTGGCTTTTTATGACTTCAAATATCTGCTGTGAAAAAGGGCCTTTTGACCTAAATGGGTGGTCGTATAGGAGCATCATGGCTTGTGCAAAACTTGGCTACATTCTATGTCATCCATAAAACATTTAAACTATATCTGCACCATATAAGTGTACAACACAACACCTTTGGATACAGTGTGTGTGAATCTTCAACACCCTCCCATATTGTTTGCTCTTCTTACCGAATGCACCTCTTGTATGCAACTCTATATTCGTGATATTTACTCCCTTTAAATGGTATGCAACTGTAATGTGCACATGCAGGCATGTCATGACAAATGCTTACGCTGAGACGGCTTAGAATCATTGAAAGAGCTCATTGACTTGTCTTGCTAATGGAAACGTTAGCAGACACTGACTTGAATAATTGTTTCTTTACAGCAGTATCCCACCCTTCTCTCCTCCCACACTTGTTTCCATGCGCTGCAATTACACGACAGGCTTCATAAGGTGCTAAGAAACTGTGCACGCAGGTGTCTGTGTCAAGCTGGGTATGTGACTGATTCATTATATTCTTCTTCTGCCACCGACATTACTAATAACAGGACCCATTCTGACGAAGACAGGAACTGATTACACCATAACCACCTTTGTGTGATTACACCGACTCCCCGTGGTCGACCAGGTCAGCAGGGGATCCCGGGCCAATGACCCTGAGGGGACATGAGCCTTCACAAGGTGAGAGAAATAACTTTGGGGTAGAGGGCCAAAATAAGCAGTGTTGTAAAGTAGTGAGACAATGGAGGTGCGGAAGACCTCCTATGGGGTCTTTAAATCATATGATGGGCTTAATGTTTGCTTTCCCAGTCATACAAACTGCAAGAACATATAAACTCCACTAACGACTTGGTCCATGCCCAGATCACTCTAAAAAACAAAAAAAAGCCTCCTCCCGGTCATCATTTTCTATGTTTGAGAAAATTATGATGAGACTAACCCTGCTGTCAATTCTCTATAGCTTTGGGTTATTGGATCAGTTATGATACAAGAAGATGTCTCCATTATTTAGCTGAATCACAATAACACAGTGGGTATTTATCTCCACTTAGTGTTGTTTTAAGAGGCGACACTGGTCTGAGGAGATAAAATCCATCTCTTTCAGGTCTCTCAAAGGGGCTCCTTCACTTGGCCATCCAGTCGGTGAGTAATGCCACTTAAATGCCCCCCCCCCCCGTGACAAAAGCTTGAGAAAAAAAGAGGGGTGGCAGGCTTCCACTGGGAGCCACAGGCAACACTGTGTCTGGGGCAGGGGGCTTCATTTCACAGGCACTGCAGGGCTTAAAGTTAAAGATTACTTTGAAATCTGCATCCACTGCCATCAGACTCTCCCGCTCTACAGCCCACCCTCCTTCCTCCCTCCAGCAGTCACTCCCTCTCCCGGAAAAAAATGAAAAGCTGTCGCCACAGAGCAGGGGATGAGTTGTGAGCAGATCCTCTTTGATGACAGAGAAGGATCCTTTTGTTCACTAATCCCCAAACAATCCCCCCTCCCCTCCCCCTTTTCCCTATAAATCCAACTGGACGTCAAGGGGCTTCATAATCAGCCAAGGGCTCAAAAGTTATTAGTGTAGTTGTTTTACTTTCAAAGATTGGAATGTAGTGACGTGTTGTCGAGTCACCTCTGTCAAAAGATCTTCTAATTTTGGTCTTTTCAGAGTTTGGAAGAGTCTTTGAGAGCAGTAAGAATTCTTAAAAGAAGCATATCATCAAGTAAACACCCTAACAAGTCACATGACACTGGTCAGTGGTTGTCATAGGTGGATCCTAAGGGAACAGCCATTAGACCCTGTGCATGCTGTCAAGAAAGACGGGGTCCCCCCAGAGACAGACGGTTCCAGGATATTCCCTTTCTTCCCGTGTCTTGCCTTTAAGTGTGTGCAAAGTGTGTCCTTGTGTAATTATCAGATTGGACACAGGAATTTCACAGAGCAGATGAAAGTGTTCCTTTTGCTCATAACATCTGCCCTCTGACGGGTTTCTGTCCTATCAAGATGACCTCAGACATAGCCTGAGGAGAGCGATTATCACCGCTCTGTATAAGCGCTCATGGCTTCGGTCATGTGATCACATGATGGCGTGCGTTCATGAGGAGGAAAAGGCACGACCTTGTGTGTTTGCATGCATGTATTTGGCGCACTATGTATGCACAGACATATGGCCTAACAAGCATGAAAAACACTCAACAGACCAGTGAGAAGGGATCAATGTGCAGGGTCAAAGTGTCAAACATGGCTTACCTAGCCGTTTCACTTCTGCTGCGTAGCTCTTCAGATGTCAAAGAAGACTTTCCTGTCTGGAAGTGTGGGATCTTCTCTCTGTCAAGTTGAAACAAATAGCATTAAGATAGAGTGCAGTGCAAAAGCCCTCATGAAAGAATGACTCCAATGACTCCCTCTGGAGTATAAAAGAGGAATTGCATAAAATGAAAATACGAACCCTGTTTACATTTTTAAATGATGAATTCTATATAAAAATCTATTTTGTTTGCTTGTTGTTTTTAAACCACAGCCTCCTGCTGTCTCTCTATTCAGTACGATTAACTAGTTCAGTTATAAAGTAGAGGTATGGGCACAAAACAACAAAAACAAGGAATAAAGCAAATGTAATGTATTTTTAAATGTCCGTTTATCAGACGTGGCCAAAACACAACAAAGTGCATTCAACCAAGAGATATTTTGACGGCCAGTAACTGTTAGGGGACCAGACTATATTGACTTTTCTACCGTAACAGTATGACTGCAGATGGCTCTATCACCGATTGCAGGGAGAGAAACTGTTATTCCATCAATCTGTGTATTCGATTTGTTTTGTTGGATAAATTAAATCGTTATAGTTTTATGGGTTATTGAGTTGGTACGAGGATCGTCCTCCCCCAGCGTCTTCACTGGCAGCCCCTCTTCCTCCATCTCTCTCCACAGCCCTCTTCCTCATCTGGTGCGCTGTCTTCTCCCTCGTCATCCTATATTTCATCCATTGTCTATGCGCCAAGGCCAAAAATAATATTTGACAGACAGCTGGGAAGAAGGGAAACTTTCACCACATTGTAACTTCACCAGCAAATTGAGTGACAGCAGTGCAGATCTTACATCCCTGGAATCAGTTACTCTTGTTTTCATAATGTTTGATTATGGTAAATCACCACAAAGCATCTCTATGTCTCTTCAGTACAGTATATAAAAGTTATTGCAAGCACTAAAAGCTATATGGTGTGAGATACAGTTGGGTATTACTTAATAAAAATGAGGAAAACATACATTATCACCACCGAAGGTTATTTTGCATTGGCAACGTATGAGCCATACATATTACTGCAGTTTTGGACCTATAGGTGAGAAACTGAACTTCATGACAACACAGTGAAGTTTTTCAAATCTGGCACTCCTTTTTAAGACTATACATTGTTTTAAGTGGTCTTCAAAATAACTTTGAATACCATCTCAATGAGTAGTATTTAAGTACTATCTGACAAAAATTCAAATCTTGATAAAAATTGGGATTATATTGAATCATGTCTGGTGGTTGCAGTAAAAACTAACTGGAGCTGAATTGTTTTGTAAATAATATTTTCTTTTGTCAGTTGTAGGCCTACTAGTAATTTAGGTATTCAAATACAATAAACTTATATTTAGAAATGTTGGTATGACGATGTCTTTTCATTTCTGATAAAAGTTTTTTGTAACAAAAAGAACCACATTCATTAAAACAAAATAAGTAGGCAGTATTATATATGAACCTATCTGGCCTTTTCCTATTTCTTTCCCTTTATCTGACGTTTGTTTATTCTATTTTGAAAGCAAGCCAACTACTGGGCTGCACCTTTCCGCAGTTTCTCACGGTCGGTTATATTTATAAATAGTATGCCATTCATAAATATAATGTAATTCAAGGAGCATTGCATCGGTGAGGTACTTCAGGTCTACAGGCTGCGACTTTGGCCACTATGGCTATAGACTAGTTTATAAGCATCTAGTATATGAATAGAGAGAAGTCAGAGTGGAGGTGTTTTTGCTCTTAAAACACTATCACACCATGTTTCAACAAGGAGACCCGCTGGTGACTGTTCGCGGTCTGCAGTCCCACACAGACAGATGAATTAGACGTAGCCTTAACTATTTTACATATTTACCTCGGCTATAATTTTCAATTTTAGTTTGTCTCTCCCCTTGTCTCGTGAACACACGTGTGCGCTCTGTCTCGCTCGTCTGTTGAACAAATGTAGTTGATACTCAACAACTTGGAATAAACACGGAAGCGAATCCGAATAAACCGCGTTCAACCCTGGTCGCGCTGCCAGGTCGAATAACGGTTGACGCATATGGTGCTGAGGTGACACACTCAAACGAACCGTCAACCCGCGTGTCTCTCCCACACTGACTGCCCCGACAGTTGTGAACGCTAGTAACCTCACTGACGTCCCCGCGCACCCAAGCACGCGCCACCTCCAGCGCTCCAATCGCTGACCGAGAAGTGTCCTGACGTCACTCCAAAGCTTCCGGACTGTTTGCACTGGCCAGGTGATGGTCAAATTTCGAATTACACTTAATTTTTATATACGTTTAACAACAGACCAGCAGTTGTGGTTTATAACCAAGCACACCCTGATAACAGACTACCTCAACACAATGTCAAATCACCGGTTACAAGGATAAAGAGCCCCGATCCGATCCCGCAAAGACGCAGGCGTAGCGGCTGAGAGAAGAGGTAAGAATGTGTTGCTGCGTGAGCGCTCTGCAGATGTTCAGAGAGGGACTGGTTGTTATCGGTATGCTGACCACCGCGACACGTCGCCTTTAATGTTCCGTACGTTAGCTGCGAGTTCCACCTCTTGGTTCTGAACTGAATTTGGACAAAGTGGCTGATTTGTAGCTCACTAGCAGCGGGCCAGCAGCAGCTGCAGTGGTTAGCCGTAGCCCTGAATGCTGGCTACCCGGTATGCTAGCTGCTAGCGCGTCTTTGAGCTGTCCGCTAGATGCTAATGTTGATGCTGCTTCGCCGCTAGCCTCGTATAGCCTCAGAAACGTATACTGCGGAGTGAAACAAATTCTGGCTATTAGCTGGTGTCTTCTTGCCTGGTTTGGGTTTGATAGCATCACACACAATGTCGAAAATGATGTACAAGTCATCACAACAGTACTGTGTTATGATTGTCTCGACCGCAAATCAAAGATAACGATACACAAATCAAAACAGTGTCGGCACCACACACGTCTCCAGCGCTTCTCAAAGGACCGACACGGATAACATATTATAAAGGTAAATAACATTGCAAGTAAAAGTACAACATGAAGCCTGTTTTAATAAAAGGCGACGCTTTATCCGATACAACGATGTAAATGATGAGATGGAGAAAATGCGTGAAATCATCACAAGATTCACGTCCTGTTGTCCTGATTCTCATTCAGATACTGGCAATGTGGAATAAAATGTGTTTAGTATCAAATTACAGCTAGATAAAATCATTATGGACTGTTATTGAGCTGAAAGCTGTATTCATCTGTGGTGTTTATCTCCAAATGTATTAACAGAAAGCTCAGTTTTCTCCACTATTGAACACGGAGTACTTTAACAAATCTTCATGTGTGTGTGTGTTTAATACCACTTTTATCACAATATGCATGTGGGCTTAAAGTCAGCTTTGTGGCAAACATGTGACAGATGCGCATAGATGGGTTGTGATATTTCAGTGACTCTAAATCCGAATATGTGGTCGGTTTATTGTAACTATGTGTCACAGGAATGTTAGTTTCTTATCTAATCAGCTTTTTGTGGTTCTCATCATGTGGCACGTTGCTGTTGGGAGCAGGTGTGTCTACTTCATTCAAAGTAAAGTAGACCATCGCTGAACCTGTGTGACAAGTGTTCGTTCTTACCCTGCTAATGTGGCTGTTATTCTTTGTGTGTTTTCTCTGCGTTTTCAAGTACAATAGAATTGTGACAGTTGGTTGTGGTATTTGAGTTGCTGCAGACAGGTGAAACATGTTCAACCTGCGAGACTGGGACGGTTCATGCTACATGTATTGAAGCACTTAATAGTAAAGGCAGTTGCTGTCTGCATTCTTATAAAACACCTAACGAAATCAAATTGCTTCTCTTACCTATTAGCTCTATATACATACATACATACATACATACATACATACATACATACATACATACATTCATTTTGTTAATAGATATGGGCACACATACCTGTACTCTTTGATTGCATCAACATCCACGTGCACACACAAACGTGCTGCTTCGAACAGTGAGAGGCGATAATCGATTGCCTGCTGCGTCATATTGTCACGGCCATAGTGTCACACTCCTTACCGGAGCAGCACAAGAGCGTGGTGCAGTGCAGGTGATCAGTGCTGGGGTAGCCTAGTTTGACTCTCACTGAGGATTCACGCTCTAACTGAAGTCAAATATCTGCAAACACGTCTCTTTTTACTGTAGAAATGTAGCATGGTAAAAGGAAAAAAAAAAGATGAGTTTATCTCGATAAGAGCTACTCGATGACTAAGTAATGTTGTGTTTTGTAGCTTGTGTTTGCATAAGGCCAGGTGGGGCCCACCTCGTCGGTCAGTGTTAGATTCTTCTCAGTGCTGTTACATTAACCGAGCAGGTTACGCTAACATCCCACATGACCTCTGGCCCTCTCATTGGAAGCAGCAGACTGACAGTGACAGTCACTGTCGCTAATTCTGGCTCACTGCAAATCACACTGTGGCCATAAGTGCACTAAGAATAGCTGAGAGAGTCCATCCAAAGGTTTTGGTAGTATAGTCAAACAAATTAGGGCAGTAACTAGTTTAACATGTGCTGTAATACTTCATTTGCACACATTAGTACACCTCGGGGTGTGAGTTGCAAGCTACTGGCGAGGCATAGGGAGAAGGTGTATAATTCCTGAAAATTAGAGAGGCAAAGTTTTCTTGGTTGTGAAACAAAATGGAAAATAATAAGCAGCAAATCTTCACATATCGGAGGCAATTCATGTTTTGTCTATCAACTAATTAACTAATCATTCCAGCACTATTATTATATGTTGTTGATAAGTGTCGCAGCGTCATGCTTTCTCCTTGGTGATGGGATCAACTAGGCCAGCGGAGTTGGTGAAATCGATAGTGCTGACTGACAGCCGACCTAAGAATAGACAGAGGTGTTGTTCAGGCAAGCTGGGATTCATTTACCAGGAGCGCACATTTGATGCTTGCGCAATATTGCCAAATGTGCTGATGCATCTTTTTATTCCAGACTATCCTTCTAAAATTTCACGTTGTGCCTCTCTGTTGCAGGTCTGTTTGACTTGCTGCGCAAAAGAACCACCTTCAGCCAGTCGCAGCGCATCATTGCGTGTCCGGTTTGATTCATCTCCACCACTGACTTCATCCTCCCGAAGATGAAGCTGAAGGAGGATATGAACCCCCTGCTGCTGCAGGTCTTCCGCTCCGTCGTCTGGGTGTACTCGGTCATCACCTTCATACCCTGGTACTTCTTCTCCGGAGCCGGCAACAACTTGGAACGGGCTCGCCGGATCAAGGCGTGCTCGGTCAGCGGACACCCGGCGGGGCCTTACAGGGCCGTCAACAGCCAGGAGAAGCTGGCGGCATGGCTGCACCCCAGTGTGGACACGCTGGACAAGATGTTTGAGTACGCTGCGAGTCGGTTTCCGAAGAGAGACTGTCTGGGCACGAGGGAGGTGCTCAGTGAGGAGGATGAGCTCCAGCCCAACGGCAAGGTCTTCAAGAAGGTTAGAGACCTGTTCCTATTCCTTTGGCAAACATGCAACAGATTGTGTATCACCATCATCCTCTTTCTTTTTTTTAATTGTTTGGTCTGTTGTCAGGATATAGCCAAGTCAGTGGGTGGTTCCGCTCATCACATGTAGGTGCAGAACTGTATATGAAAAGCTTTAGGTGAATCCGAGGGACTACAGGATGTTGGCTTGTGACGGAGACGTCTGCCACTGTGCACAGTGTGAGAGGAGTGTGGGTGGAAGAGCAGCAGCAGCAGCAGCGTTACCGGTGCTTTTGTCTCATGGCTGAAGAGTCTCCTCATTAACGCCTGTTGTGGCTTCAAAAGCCCTGTAGATGGCGGTAACTGACTGCATATGAAGAGCGATGTGTCGGTAACAACACTGGACCTCTTTCACAGTGCATATTGCACATTACCTTTTATTATATTGTGACACAGGTAAACGGTGCTCATATTCATTTCCAACGACGTAAATACCACAGGTTCCTAAAATCATTTAAGCACTCTCTTCATATTTGTCATATTGACACATACCAGGCCTTTAGAATGCATGTACATGCATCAGTGTCCATGTTGTTTGGTGTAGTATTTGGAAATAATCCTGAACATTGCATATCACCTTTTGTGTGTTTTAGGTAATACTAGGAAACTATAACTGGCTGTCGTACGAGGAAACCTACGAGGCGGCAAAGAATTTCGGCAGTGGCCTGGCAGCGCTCGGCCAGATGCCTCAGTGTAACATCGCCATCTTCTGTGAGACCAGAGCAGAGTGGATGGTAGCAGCACTAGCCTGCTTCATGTACAATTTCCCACGTGAGTGGCAGGAAAGACAAACACGTGTGTATTCATGCGGTCTCCGACCTACAGTGAAGGACTTGAGACTTAACCGGCTTTACATTTGACAGTGGTGACCCTGTATTCCACTCTCGGACCCACGGCCATCGCGCACGGCCTGAACGAGACGGAGATCACGCACATCATCACGAGCAAAGACCTGCTCCAGAGCCGTCTCAAGGTACCTGCTTTGCTGTCGCCATCGGTCTTCGTGATGTGCTTAAAATTCTCTGAATTACGGGTTGTTCATTGTGTGTAGCGTTAGGGCTTGATCATGAAGCTCGGTTCTATTTGCATGATTACTTTTTCCCCTCTCGCTCGCCTTTGTCCCTCCCCACCTCCCTCCTACACCCAACTCCACCAGGCCATAGTGTGTGATATGCCGAGACTGCAGTACATCATTGTAGTCGACAGTAAACCCACAAGCTGGCCGAACATTCCCAGAGGCATCATGGTCTACAGCATGGATGCTGTGAAGGAGATGGGATCCAAGCCTGACAACAGTGAGTGTCTGAGCGCTGTGATTAAAAATGTTTTTCTAATTTTGTCGGGGAAATGGGAAGTGAAGGCTTAATACAAAGCCAACACCCTGATGTGTAATTGGAGTGATGCGCTGTGCATAACAGAGTCAGGAAGAGGTCAAATAAAACACTTTCCAAACACCCAACGTCACAATGACATCGGTCGACTTTTTAGGAAAATCAGTGGAAACTGAAATTCTGTTTACATGACGACTATCTCTTGAGCCACGTTGATGATTTTCCTCTTACCGTATTTAAAAAAGAAAACACTGGAATATTATAAAAGATTGGATACTGCAAATAAAACACGCAATATAGCGTCCATATGAAATATTTTCTAAATTCATTTTAGCCAAGTTTCCTTTCACAATCACGTAGAAAACAAGAATTACATGGAAGATATCAATAATTTGCGTTGTGATTAATTGAAAGAGGGGATCAGGCTTAAAAAGAATCCTAAATCATCTTATGCTTAACAGGTTATAGAATCTGTAGAAAATTAAGATTTTTTTAAATATGAGGATTTGCTTCTTTTAGTTTATTTCACTAAAAATAAAATATCCTTGGCTTCAGGACAGTTTGTTTGAGCAAAACGAGCATCTTGGTCTTCATTCCTCTCATAAATTGAGAAAATAATCAATACATATATTGACAATTATTCAGACCCTGTCACAGCATACAGCTGTTTGAAAAGCATCTTTTTTTACATCTCTGTACTTTAGTGAGCAGAGACTTCTTCACACGAACGTATTATTACGGTTAATAACGGTGTTATTACCGTGGGATCCATTCCCTCTGTTCTCCTGCCTCTGCAGTAGCTGTAGACCGCAGACAGTCGGAGTCCTCTGACATCGCGGTCATCATGTACACCAGCGGCTCCACGGGCATCCCCAAGGGTGTCATGATCTCCCATGGCAACATCATTGCTGGCATCACTGGCATGGCTGAGCGACTCCCTAACCTCAAGTATGCCAATACCAGATTCACTTCCTCTCCTTTCCCCTGTGTTCTGCAACTCTCCAAATATCTACAAAATATCTCCTCCTGCTTCTGAAATACATACAATATCACGTCTTTCCTCACACACGTAATTACCACCACCTACCTCGCTGTGTTCTCTTCTGCGTCTATTGCGGAAACTAACCTGTGATGTTTCTGTGCCGGCAGTGAGACGGACACGTATATTGGCTACCTGCCGTTAGCGCACGTTTTGGAGCTCAGCGCTGAACTCGTGTGCATCTCGCACGGCTGTTGCATCGGCTACTCCTCCCCTCAGACTCTAGCTGACCAGGTCAGTGTATAAAAGCACACGCACACATACATACACACACAAACACACACACCTACCTCATGGCCAGCATGTGTTGTATGCGGTGCCTGATTCGAACGTTGTTGCGCAGTTGCTCTGGGGAGGGGTGCGTACCCAGAGTCACCAGGAGGTGTCGGTGCGCAATAAGAAGTAAGGGTACTCGAGGACAAGTGCCGGTACCGAACCCATGTCGGGCACAGTGTGTCACATTTATTGCTGAGACTTCGGTGCTCTGTATATCCAGCTGAGATGAAAATGATCAATCATGTATTTTGGCTTTTTATAGTGCCCTCTAAAAAATGTCTAACTTGACTGATACCCTGTTTTTTTTATTTTTTTACAGATTCTATTGACGATGCTTATGGTCACTTTGTCAGTTGGTAACTGAGAGTTGACATATGTTTTTATTTATTTTTATTTTCGCAGTCTACCAAGATAAAGAAGGGCAGTAAAGGGGACACCAGTGTGCTGAAACCTACTCTCATGGCTGCTGTACCAGTAAGTCCTTTTTATTTCAAAAACCCATCAGTCCAAATGTATTAGTAACATGGCCTCCAACTAACATTTCTAACATTATTATTATTATTATTATTATTAAACTACAGTAAACTCTAAAGAGCCACAGAGTATGGACTTAAAGTGTCACTGAGAGTTTTCCCACCTGATGCGTTTAGGAGATCATGGATCGAATCTACAAGAATGTGATGACCAAAGTCGAGGAGATGAGCAAACTCCAGAAGACGCTCTTTGTGCTGGCGTACAACTACAAGATGGAGCAGATCTCCAAGGGCTACAGCACGCCTCTCTGTGACAGGTAAAACACCTGTTATATTCCTGATGACACCAGCGGAGACGTTGGCGAATATTAACCTCTGTTACTACTCGGCTAAACATAACCTAGTGTGAACTTCCTGTCAACGCTGAGTCTCGACAAAAGGGTGTAGGAAACTCTTCTCTATGTGAATCACTGTATAATATTGTGTTTGCACGGGGATTCTTCAAGTAGAAGTCAACATCTGGATGCTATGTAGATTTATCAACTTTATAAAAGTCTGAATGGCTTTTTTTTCTTTTCTCCAGTCTTGTTGTGTGTTGTTGTTGGAGTCTCCGCCACCCCTTACTCATCATCTCCTGGCTGTGTGTTTCTGTTTCCGTCCACCTCCTCCCCCACAGTCTGGTGTTTAAACGGGTGCGTGCGCTCCTGGGAGGGAACACGCGGGTTCTGCTTTCTGGCGGAGCTCCGCTCTCCGCTGCCACACAGCACTTCATGAACATCTGCCTGTGCTGCCCTGTGGGGCAGGGCTACGGCCTGACGGAGACCTGTGGAGCCGGCACCATCAGCGAGAGTAAGAGACTGCTGGATATCCAATGTCACCCTTTGGGGAAAATGAACAGACTAGCAAAATAAGTTGATTTGTAGTCATTACCTTAATTTATCAGGAGTCGCTGCTGTGTTTTGTTTTTTTTTGTTTGTTTTTTACAGTTTGGGACTACAGCACAGGGCGGGTTGGTGCTCCACTGGTTTGCTCAGAGATCACGCTGAAGGACTGGGAGGAGGGTGAGTCAACTGGCAACCACCCAACTTCAGAGAAGTCAACAAGTGCATTGATATCCTAATCGGGTCTGTGCTCCCCTAGGTGGTTACTACAGCACAGACAAGCCCAACCCCCGGGGGGAAATTTTGATCGGCGGTCCGAATGTAACGATGGGCTACTACAAAAACGAAACCAAGAACCGGGAGGATTTTTTTGTCGACGAGCGCGGCCAGAGATGGTTCTGCACGGGAGACATCGGAGAGTTCTACCCTGACGGATGCCTTAAGATCATCGGTACGAGATAATTCAAACGAGTGCAAGTGTGTGTGTTGCACAAGCCTGACATGTATCAGGATTGTGACGCGTGTTCTCCCCCCTACAGACCGTAAGAAGGACCTGGTGAAATTGCAGGCAGGCGAGTACGTCTCTCTAGGAAAAGTGGAGGCTGTTTTGAAGAACTGCTCACTCATAGACAACATCTGTGCCTATGCCAACAGGTAGAATCCTCTCTCAATCAATTTCTTCCAGACTTCCAGTTCCTATTTTTAAATGCAGGCTCACCAAGCACACCAACATTCCAGCCAGTGTTTTTCTTCAGATTTTCTGTTTTCTCTCTTGTTAATATTGAAAAAAACTAAACTTGTGGACTCTTTTTCTGCTCATTCTTCAGTGACCAGTCGTACGTGATAAGCTTCGTGGTGCCCAACCACAAGCAGCTAATGGTGCTGGCGGAGCAGCTGCAGGTGAGGGGCACATGGGAGGAGATGTGCAACAACTCCCAGATGGAGAAAGAGGTCCTACGCATCATTACCGAGGCCGCTCTCTCAGGTAGGGGGAAACAAAGCCCGTCCGTGCTCTTTGTCTGATTTAAAGGCTTCTCAATGAAACCAAAGCGGTTGTTTCCTCTCTGTCATAACTTGACAGTTCAGATCGGGTGCGACGGCGTCTGCCTTGCACCAGTGTTAACACTGTAAATGTCACTCTAACTTGTGATTCTGCTCTCTTTCCCGCAACCAGCACAAATGGAGCGATTTGAGATCCCCAAGAAGATCCGTCTGAGTGCTGAGCCCTGGACGCCGGAGACCGGGTTGGTCACCGACGCATTCAAACTGAAACGCAAGGAGCTGAAAACACACTACCAAGACGACATTGAGAGGATGTACGGTGGAAAATAACACACACAAACGCACTCCAAACAACGTGTGTGTGTGTATATATGTGTGGGTGTATATATATATACATATACACTTACTTGCACACATACACAAGGAGCTCAGAAGCCACTATACTTGGAATATTTGTAGAGGAGTTATACTTTAGATACAAGGTAACAATCACCCATCATTACAGTAAAGAGCGTCTCATGCAAAGCCTCCTCAGCTTCCATACGACCAGCTTCGATCAAAATCCAGCTTCATGCTCTCTGTCGAGACCAGAAGGCAGAAGGTCCCTCACAGACGACTGAACCAGCCGGACATGGACACACTCTCTGTCTCCGGTCCCCTTTGATGGATTTAGACCTTTTGAGTTGTTACGACAACCGTGAATGGCGCACAAAGTCGGACGTCCGCGTGACTCGAAGCGAAACAAATGTCAGGCTCGACGTATATCTGGATCAATGTCAGCGCGCCCTCTTTGTTGCTTCTCTTCTTCCCACCCCCCCATCGCCGCCCCCCCCCCCTCTGCTGTTTGGAGCCTTCCAGCAGCTCTGCATGGTCGTGGACTTGTGGTGCAGATACCTGGCAGCATGAGCCTGACGGAGGGATCCCTCCTGTGCTTTAAGTAAACGGTCAGGTTGGAATCAATGCAGGGATCTCTATTATATATATTTTTTAATGTTGTCACTATGTTTTCTTCATGTTTGGTTTGTCAGCTTTGAAACCCATTGACGAGTATTTTTGTGTGTTGAGGAACCGTTGTTGCAAAGCCACGAGAGATTGAGCATGAAGATGTTTTTTAATGTTATTTTATGTTTGTAACATTCTGAGGGTTTTTACTTTTTTCATCGTCCTGGTTTTTTTTTTATTGCCAATTTGTTTATGCTAATGTACTTTTATGAGCTTTGTTTACAAGCTTCCTTTTGTTGTTATCTTTTCCTCCCTTTTTTTCTGTCCGTGTCCCACAGTTTGCACGTTTTATTGTGTGTTTACTGACTGGACTCGTAGAAGCGAGTCTCCTCTGCTCTCGGCCTTTGCTGCAGTCGTAAAAGGCATCCATTGGGACTGTTTCCATCCCTGCTCTTCTTTATTTCTCCCACCTTCGCAGCCCCTGGATGCATCCTAACCGGTGTCTTATTGGTTATTTTGTTGGTTCATTGACATACCGTAGCCCTGCCACGTATTCCTCCAGTCATGACCAATGCACTGTATGGATGTCTCCAAGGAAACTTTGCTCAGCTTAGAAAAACAGTTACATCAGTTCACCCAGTTACATTTTGGCACAACTGTACAAGTTATCTTTTCTTGTTGCCATAGGGCTAGTTACTTTTGTCTTTTTTTTACTTATGAATATGAACTACAAAATTAATGTGCAATATTTATAAACAAATTTTAAACTCAACTATATAGGAAGGGGAAAAAAAAAACCCTGCTTACAGCCGCCCCTCCATAGTGTATGAATGTTTAGGCCTTTTGCTCGTATGGGACGACCTGTAGGAAAACAAGCATAGGAATAAAGAAGGTGGTAGAGAGACACTGTGCTTAACAATGTAAAGTCCTCGAATGATGTAATGCTTTTTAATAAGACTGTAAAGTGGGAGAAAAAAAAACATACTTGGCATTGTACAAATTGCATGCTGAAAAGTGTGCAAAAGCACCAAAACACTTGAATATGTATTAGAGAGAGAAATGAGTGGATCGCACTCCAGTCGAACTGAAGAAATTCCTTCATAAATACACTTCCTGTTGAATTGTAAGTACATAGCATAAAAGTCACCGGACCTCATAGAGAGCAGATTACATTTCTGTATCTTTAATTTGGTTTTGCTGTATGATGCTGTATGTGCAATGTATATAAAAGGGTCAACTGCCATTCGTTTGATCTCCTGTGTGACGCATACATTAGTTACTGTATGTTTTACTTGCTGAACTGTTAGGTTAATGGGCAGAAGATTATAAAGTGTTTTGTAAGGGGCGACGTCTCTCCCACAGCTCTTAGAATGCAAGTCTTGCGTTGCTTGTTCTGAAGGCATTTAGCGTTAATAATGATACAGTCAGGTACTCTTAACTACGTCTCCTATCAGATGTCTACTAGCTCAATGTACAAGGGTTCATTTAGCATTTAAGGAAAAAAAATGGACGGTACTATCATAATGCCTTTCTTTCTCCTGACATTTCAGTGGAAAGTCGGCAGCTGTACTGTGCTGTTTGCTGCTTCTCCTCTGCCTGGCTTGAGGTGGCTAGTTGCCTTCTAACACACGTGAGCCGTCTTCAGGGGTCTTAAGAATGTGAAGCACTCCCCATGTTTGGTTGATGGCACACAAGGCCGCGTCCTATAGCGGCAAGGCCAAGAGAGTGGGCGGTGCAAAGACCACTCCTGTTGTAAATAGGTTGAGAGGGGAGGGGATCGATGGTTCAAATTCATTCATACTACCAATAATTAGGTGCGAAGTCTCCTGTCGAGATATTTAATAATCTCTGTTACCGACCATGTTTTTTGTAGTTAAGTGGCCCTGCAAGCAGGACTATTGCAAGTGTCTCCTTCCTTATTTATTTGTGATTTGGCCTCGACGATAATGTAATGAAATAAAAATGAGTTTGTGTTGTAATTGCTGCTGGTATTTGTGTGTTCAACACCTGAATGCAGTCTGCGAGGCACAACGTGTGACTGATATGATCAGCAGCTTGATTAGAATCATCCTGGAACCAGAGTTTCTATGGCAACGACAGGCCTGTGTGTGTGTTTGAGTGACTGTGGTTTGTGAAAGACTTGTGCGGTTCGCGGATGCATACGGAACATACAGTCCTTGGAGTCAACCTTCAATCACAGCTAGTAAACAAAGGATTATTTTTTTTTATATCCTTTCAGAGTCACAGAGTATCGTTCACAACATGTTGACCGTCAGACGTGTGAAATCATTCAATTTATTAGAGGAAGAAGCCTTCCATGCACACCTGCTGCCGTACAGGATGAATCTGAGTGAGCCGGAGTCGAGCATCTTGGCAATGTGTGTGAATTTAACTAGGATGAATATGATCAATTAAACTTGGCTGTTGTGCCGTGCATCTTACATCAAGAGTATGCCTGCAACTAACTATTCTCATTATTTCCTCCATCAAATGTTTGGTCCATTAAATGTCAGAAAATAGGGGAAATTACCCAGAGCCCCTTTTGACATATTTACATTGCTTGTTTTTTTCTGTCCAAGGTCCGAAACAGAAAGATATTCAGTTTACTATCATAGAAGACTAAGTAAACCAGCAAATATCCACATTGGAGAAGCTTGAATGAGAGAATTCTTGGTATTTCTAACCTTCAAAAATTACAAAAGTGTAAGATAATTAATTGTTTATCAAAATTGAGCAGAACTATAGTTTTCTTTCAATCGACTAGTTGATTAATGGACGAGTTATCAGCAATTTGACTTCAGTTTGATGCTAGAAAGGGTTTGATTAAGCAGTGGACACAAATGAATATGAATACAGTATATATACAGTATATACAAGTTGTATAAGTTACATCGTGAATATATAAAGCTTACAATGCCGCATAAATTCTGCACTTGGGCTTGTAATACAGATTACCATGTATATATTAAGCTGCAATACATATTAAAAAGAAATCAAAACTGAACTGAACCTTTACAGTATTTGAGAAGGAAAACATTATCGAGAACAACCAACCTCTCACATAAAAGCAAAATGAAAAGACATGGTTGTTTAAAGTCCTGCATGACGGTTCCGTTTGATTTTAAATGAAATGCAAAAAGCGGTGCAAACAGTAAGACCACAGAGAGATGAGCGATTCTTCCAGCCCCTCCCTCTCCTCTCCGGTCCATCCATCCAACCCTATGGGACCGGAGAGTGCGTCAGAGGCATAATGCTCCCTTCATTAGCCCAATGATTCTGACGCAGACACATACACACTGAGTGCCTCTGCCACAAAGACAACAACAGCAGCAGCACCGAGCAGCCAGAAACTGTGAAGGACATCTTCAATATTTTTTGAATGTGGTTGTGTGTGTGTGTGTCTGTGTGTGTGTGTGTCTCTCTCTCTCTCTCTGTGATATCTTTTCTTTGCTCTCTGACACTTTATTCCAACTTTTTCTGTCTCCTACTCTTTCTCCCTCTCTCTCTCTCTCTCTCTCTCTCGCTCCCTCTCGCACCTCCCTTTTGCCTCTTCCTGTCTACTTATGACTCAGAAGTGCGCAAAAAAACTTTTATCTGTGCTTGTGCTTTATGCGCACACTCCGGTGTGAGCCAATAAACCATATTGGAGTTTACAAGGATGAGAGGAGCTGAAGCGGAGCCGCCTCATCACTCTGGAGAGGTGGGCGGTAGCTGGAGAAAACTGATAACAATTACATCTGAGGCTGAGAGATGGTGGCACAGTGATGACTGGGACTGAGATATCACACTGGACTGTTTGCACTATTTGTAAGACCCTCAAAAGGTACAGTAGGGATAGGCTTGATTGGAGATATGAAGCGGGGTCCATCCCTACAATCTCATATTCTGTGGTGAAGCACTGTTCAAACACGCAGAACCAAAAGGCATCCGAAGATCCCAAATATGTTGTGTCGAAATACAGAAAAGGGTAAAACATGAAACTTTTTTTACTCATTTCACATCTTAGTGTGACATAGATGCAATCAAGCACTGCCACAAGCAGATACAGAAAAATGTTCCATCTGACTCTGGAGCTACTTGGTGTTTAAGGATAGCCCCATCGCCTCATTGGAAAATGAATGAATGCAGCACTCTAATTTTTGGTTGACTGTCTTCCCCATATCGTGCCCCCCCCCCCCTCCTGCTGATTTTGTTTTTGACAAGCTGAACTTTGGCTGTGCTCAGTAACACTGGCTGGCACACGCCCCAGCTTAGCTGAGCTGGGTCATCATGGATATGAGGGCCAACGTGGAGGGGGGAAAGTGTGTGACGTCTGGCAATGAGCTTTGAGCAGAGAGGGAGGGGAGGGGGGTAAAGATGGAGAGGCAGAGGGAGAGGCAACCGATATGTCTGGGCGATGACTCACCGATGCCGGGTATTTATAGCATCAGGAGGGAGGGAGGGAGCGGAGGTGGAGGAACAAGGGGGCAAGCGGTTTGGGGAGGCAGCCAGGACAGCATCATCGCACCGCTGACAGGGAGTGGTGGAGGGAGAGACGGAAACCGCAGGGATGAAGCACCAGAGAAGAAAAGGAGGGAGACGAGAAAAAAGGGGGGAAGACAGGGATGGTGGGAGGTGACAAAGCAGAGAAGGAGGTTTGGAAAACAGGCAAAGTGGAGGAGAGGAAGGGAGGGGTGGAAGGGCGGATGTATGAGACTGAGCATAATAGAAAAGATGAAGAAGTTGAACTGTCAAGTAAAGGAGGGGAGACAAAAATAGAACGGCATCCACATGAGAAAGAGCATATATAAAAAAGACTCAGTTGAAAAAAACAATCTTGCTGGGCGTGCCACACTGCAGAGACACAATCAGAACATGTGGACAAGCATAAGAATTGAACAAATTGGGTTTTGAATAAAGCAACAAATATGCAATATCTCTACCTGAGCTATTATGAATATATACTTACACGTTTGCAAAAACACACACTTCCCTGCAGCCTCGCATCCAGACAATGGCTAGATGGAGTCATGCAGAGGAGGACAGGAGAGGTGGCGGTCTTCAGTGAACATAAAAATCACCACGGTTGCCTAGACACTGTACATTTTCAAGTAACACATAAGGCTGTTACACGCACAGCCAATTAGGGAGACAAAAAGACCACAATCCAATTAGAGAGGCACCGTTTGGAGCTTCACCACGCATGAATGTGATTATGATGAATTTGTATAAATTTCATGCTGCAAATATGTACATTATTACAAGCACATTCCGTTTCTCATTCCGCTCTCTTCATTGACAAGATTCCTTCATTAAAAAAATTTAAAAAACACATCCCGCCTCTGCCTCTGAAGTGCGTCACGCTGCATCCCTTACCATAGACACTAACATAATCTCTGCATGTGTGCTCGTATACACATGGGGGGGGGGAGCACACAAGCGCACAAGCACACTGTCGGTTTGTTAAAAAAGGGATGAGTCAGAGCACCAAGGTGAACACTCGCAGCCGTTAATATGTACAGGGGCGTGGAGGATAATAATAATGAGAGGAATGGAGGTTGACAGGTCGGTGGGAGGCAGAGGGGGGAAAGAAAAGAAGCTGAAACTGAAGATAAGTTCAGGAGAGAGAGAGAGAGAGAGAGAAACAATCTAGTTTGTGTGAGGCACAGATTGAAATAGCAACTGTATTACAGTGTAGCTGACATGCTATTTTTCAGAATTATTTGCTACTTTCATTTTTGAAAATGGAGAAAATGTTTAAATTTTTTAATTTAGATGAAAATCTTCAAGATTGCCACTTTAAGAATGGAAGTTCGGGGGGGGGGATTAGACCTCCAAACACCAACACAGGTATTTCCAGTTATTCTGGCTGATAAGCCCTCTGTTCAGGTTGAAGGTAGGCGGCGCTTTCATGGGTATTTATGAGGTCACAAATCTCCATCTACCAATAACAAGGATACAGGTGTAATTTGTATCGCCCTAACAGGTACAACATGCTAACTAACAGCAGACTCAGGAAGATGTCAATCAATCACAGTCGATACAGGCCCACACAGTCCTGGAGTGGTCTAATCACTAAGTCACTCCCAGTCTTTCCTGTCATTGACTGATCTAATAAATTGACGAAATATATATGCATAAAAAAATGAGAAGCATGTGTAAATAAGAGATTAAGGAGTTTCTCTTTCTTGCCAAGTTAAATGATAAGACGGATGCTGTGGTGTAAGACTGTTATCAATCTCACTCATTGAACTCTCAGCGAGAGAAGGCCGCACGTGTCCCAAATGTCAAACTCTTCCAGATGAAATCAAAAGATGCCCATTAGTGGAAGACATGGGCTCAGTCGGTGAGCTCAGTCTCAGTTATACAGAGATCTGAAACACACTCCCACAGGTTTTCGTGGACATGTGCCCTTTTCAAATAAGGCCATGCATGTTTCAAATCTGCACCTTCATTCCTTTCATATACGTACACTCCTTCAGTTTTCTTGTTGCTCAAGACAGCACACTTCTATATGTCTGCTCCACATTGCAACCCCTAATCAGCCCATCTCTGTTTCCTGGCTGAAACCTCCTGCAGACAAGGGCCAATGCTTTGACCACAGTAATTGGTGCAAAGGAGTGAGATGAGCTGGATGGGTACAACAGAGGGGAGACGTAATGAATGCGAGCCACTAACGAAAATGTCCATCAGTTTAAAAGAGAGGAAGCGACTAATGGAGGAGAGGTGGTGGATGCCAACCTGTGGGAAGACATGATGGAAGCAGAGGAGAGGCTGAGAGGCAGCGTCACCATGGAGACGGCGGTTGAGGAGAAGGTGAGCCATGACAACGGGCGTCCCGCCTCATGACTGGTTGATGGGCGGAGGTGAAGAGGTGAGGAGTAAGAGGAGGAGGAAAACAAACAAAGGAGCGGGAGAAGAACGACCACATGCGGCCTTGGCGCCTCTCTCTCTCTTTCATGGTGATCATCGTATCTTTTCTTTCTTTTGTTCGCAAGTTGATCATGTTTGAAATCAAGAATCTGAACACAACCCGAGGTTCAGCTTTTTAAGACTGTGCGTGTGTTTATATGTTAGCAGCTGTGAGTGCATGTGAACATATGGGCGTGTGCTTGTGTGCCATTGTGACGCACACAAGCCAAGCTGATATCATTCTCGCCCCGCAGCTTTGATTGACATGTGGATAAACAGCAGCTGGGTCCCCAATCGTCTGCTGTGGGTTTAGAGACCGGAGAGAAGGAGGGAGGTAGATAGTGATGATTTCTACAATGATCAAAGAGACAAAATTATACAAATGGTTTTTTTTTGGGGGGAGAGGGAGAAAGAGATTATAAAATGCTAATATGGATCTGGCTGAATGTGTTCAAACCGTTCACTGAAACAATTGCGCTCTGTGGCAGCGAGCTCGATATAAAATACCACTGTGTAACCAACAGAAGCAGAGAGGACAGCCCATGCCATCAATACTGCCAATTAATAATGCAATAAATATAGTCTGCTTTGATAGAGGAAGAGAGAGAGAGTTAAATAAAGTAATGTATACCAGGAAACCAATGAGAGAGTAAGAGTGGCACTAAGGACTCTTCATCTAATTACTCTGATTTTCCCTCCTCCCTGCTGCGATTCTCATCAATCAATAGAGAGAAAGAGAGAGAGAGAGAGAGAGAGAGAGAGAGAGAGAGAGAGAGAGAGAGAGAAGGGGATGTAGCAGTACCAATAACTAGAAATGTTTCTCCTGTTAGAGATATATATATATATATATATATATATATACATATATCTGAAATAACTGCGTGGGTCTGTATGGAACGATGCACAGAGACAGCACGTCACAAGCCCCGTAGAGGAATCAGCCAGTGAATCATCCACCGCCAAGAACCTGCTGGGATTTGAGTTTAAAAACTCATGATCCATTAATCCTCATAGTGCCCAGGGGGCTGATGTAACTTACACAATAATAGATTTAAAAAAATTAACAGACAGAACAGACATCTGGAAACTTAGATATGCTGAGACTCCACACAAAGATGGATCCATCAAATGCCTTCATGGCATTTTAATTCTACTTTATTCAGTGAAATGTGAACAATTTTTAGCAATGAAAAAAAAAAAAAATTCTGACTGAGACACAATAAAAAAAACAGTGTTCCTACACTCGAGTGTGCTCCTGACTGTAAATGGACACAACTCACAGATTAAAGGGCTCTTGAGCTGGACAAATATTATCTTAATCTTTCCAAGAAGTGTGATGTTTTCATCAGTTACCTGGATATAAAATGAGCTGAACAATTAAATGCATCTTTAAATGGCCCTTGTGCGCTTGTTCATTTTCAGTAAAGATTGATTGCAGACGATGAGCACATTCTATTATCCATCTGTTAATAATGGGCACGCAAGAGAACGTAACCTTTGCACGATTGATACTACAGTGTGCCGGCTGCCGTGACCTCTGGAGTTGATGCCGGGCCTCAGGGTGGCGGTTCTGTTCTGAATGGAGAGATGTGATGTCAGAGCGGTGATGCTGTGCGATTATACAACACATCTTACAAACAACACCACGCCTCTCTTTCTGACAGTCTCTCAATCTGTGATTCATATTTTTTCTTTTTTTACCTCCCTCTCTTTTGTGCACACACTGAAGAGCTTAAACAAGCCGGCACACACACACACACACACACACACACAAGCAGCCAGTCAGATGGATGTGTCTCTTAACGTCAGGAGGCTCTCTGCAGCTCTTCAGCCCTGGCAGATGACGGCGCTTTCAACTAAAAAGCACCTCCGACGTCGTCGTCTCTATTAGATGACACAGTGTGTGCTCGGCACCGAGGTTGAAGGGAAAAGATTAAGTGGCCAATTCTTTTTTCTTCTTTTCTTTCACTAGTTTAATGGACATGATATGGTTACAACATGGAATAAATAAGAAGCACACTGGATTCAATTAGATGTAGAATGAAAATGGGGGAAGGGGGGACTAAAGTGGAAGAGCACTTATGTGTAGGCTGCGGGTACAGGGTGTCATAGGGCATTGTGCCCCATTCAGACTCACTTTAGAGGGTGCAGAGGAGACTTGAGACGATGCTGCATTCCTAATGGAATTGATTGGCCATGTGTTTGGCTTGTAGGGAGATACCAACAGAGGCTTAAGCATGAAACAAGAGCACTGGAATGTGAATATCGAATTAAAGTTCTAATACATTTATTACCTTTTAAGTAATAATGGCAGTCTAAGTAGTCACCGCTTATTGCCATATAGGTGAAGAAGAGCCATACTGAATCTTTATTATATATATTTTAAAAGCTATTTGACTATTTTCCTCAAGTCCAAAGACACAAGTCGTTTTAGCATTTTCACCTTTGTGTCCCCCCCTCCCTACAGAGAATATCTAGTGATATGGTGACGAAATGTGTGAGTCATTGCCTTTATTTTGGTGGAATGTATTTTGTTTTCAACAACTTTTAATATTAATACTATAATTCTAAAAATGAAATATATACAGTATATAGAGCCTACCTGTGTTATCATCCGTGACCTTTTACCGGCAGGGCCCGTGCTGTGGCCCCTTCATCTCGTTGACCTGCGGAGCTTTGGCCCCACGCCGACAAGGAGGGTGTTTATCAACGTCTCTGTCAGAGGAGGGAGGGAGGGGGGGGGGGGGGGGGGGGGGGGGGAGGAAGCAACTGCGACAGCAACTCCGCGGTGGTTTTAGCCTGTGAGTCATCGCTAGAGGGGTTAACTCTTCATGTGCCAAAATGAGGGTAGCAGTGATGGTAAAACTGAATGTTTTTACACCAAAAGGACCAAAAAAAGCTTTTTCTGCGTCAGTGTGAAAGGTTATTTCTGGTACACGTGGAATGTATTTTTGAATTTTTATTTTTGAATGTTTATGTTTACACAGGAACATTTGCATGTTGTTCAACACATTTTATATCTATATTTAATAAAACGTGTTAATGCAACGAATGAGAATCCACATAAACATATCGGCAGCATTCCAGACTTTTAAAGATCTTTCCAGTCAATAGCTTCTAGAGTGGTGCTATGAAACAGCACAGAGAACTATTTTTAAATGCAGCGAGCTCTTTAGCATGCCATATCATAAACCTGAATCATTTATATGGATTTTTTAGGACCGGGTAATACGTGTGTTGTGCGATGACGCGGTGGTCAGGTGTTGCCTCATATAACGAGGGGAGCTGTCCAAGTGCTGAAAACAGAAGAGAACAGCACCGCTCCCGAGGAGATGCCATACACCTTCACTGCTGTCTGAGCTTTATTACCAAAGGTAAGATACATATATTTTTATGATTTCACTGTATTTTAGTTCAAATGAATATCCAAATGCCTTGGATTGGAAGACAATTGTCTGTCACGTTCGCTTTTTGCAGATGTCGACACTTTGTAGAATGGGTGTTATCCATGTGATAAAATGCGCATTGACAACAATCGATGAATAAAATGCGTGGTTGCTGTTGTGAAATATCGAGAAATGGAAGGTATTTTTTCAAATTGGTTTGCTGTTAATGGGGGAATCGGATGTTGAGGTTGCCCATAACAATGCGGGGAATGACTCATCCAGTGATGTGAATGCATCTCCTCACGCACAGCATCGTATCATTCAATTTGCCGAGCGTAACTCATAGGACTACAATTCTCGGATAAAAACACACTCTCGCACGTTTATGCGCGTTGCTTTTTGAGTAAGTTTGTTGGACCAACATAGAGACACAGAAATCCTCGTTTGGCTTATTTTGTTTTTCCCCCATCCTTCCATAACATTTGACGCTTTCTTGTTTTGCAGGTAATACATTGCCTATAATGCTGCATTTCCACCACAAGTTGCCCGCGGGGGGAGCCGTGGTCCTGCTCGCCTTCCTCCTCCAAGGATGCGCCGTGCGGGCTGCGTCTCTCCCCCGCCACTACAGGCTCCGAGGTGGGGAGGGCGAGGGGCAGCCGGCTGCCTATCCACCCAGCTCCGACATGGTCAAAGCACTGGAGTACATCGAGAACCTAAAGCAGCGGAACGGGGGCCGACCCGAACCCGCGGATTACGATGAGGTGGACAAGTTCAGGGTCCTGCTTCAGCTCGCCTCGCAGCAGCAGGACGAGAGTCCCGCGGACCGTCAGCCCGCCCCCGGCGTGCCAAGGCAGGACATTACCGCTGAGCAGCTGATGAAAGCCCTGCTCCAGTCTCTCCAGGATCGGGCCGGGATAGACGCGAAGCCCATCAGCCCCGTGTCGGCGCCCAGGAACGACCGCCGCACGCACAGGCACCGCACCAAAGACACCGAAGTCCCCGCGGGCGCACCGGTAGAATACGGTAATTTCCCCAGACCCCACAAGAAATACCCGCTGATGTTCGAGGACGAGGAGAACACGGACGCTTCCAAGCGGGCCACGGAGGACCTGGACGAGCAGTACACTCCCCAGAGCCTCGCCAATTTACGGTCCATCTTCGAAGAGCTCGGGAGGATGCCCACATTCGACGGCCAGAAAAGAGACGTGTTCGGGGACGACGACGACAATGAGGAAGAGGACGGGTTCAGCCTGAGGAGTCCGGCTTACGAGGACGTGGCCGGGGGAGAGCAGTGGGTCCCCATCGAGGAGAGGGAGGAGACGGAGGAGTTGGTCAACGGGAGCCACGAAGAAATGGACCGGGCGCTCGGCGAGCAGGAGGAAGCGGAGAGGGAGGAGATGCAGCGCCGGGCGAGCCCGAACCAAGAGGACGCCAACGACGACACGAAACTGGTAGATTACTACCTGTTGAAGGTCCTGGAGATGAGCGACCAGACGCAGGAGCGGGATAAGACCGGGGAGCAGAGAAAGAGACTGATCCGGCCCTCCATCCTCGACCCTCAGACCGTGAGGGACCTGCTGCAGCTCTCCCTGAAGCTCCACGTCCCCCCGCAGGACCTGATCGACATGTTGCTCACAGAGGAGCTCAGGAAGCTCCACCGCGAAACCCAGGGCTCGGCGGCTCGCTACCCGACCGGCCAGACCCCGAAGATCCGGTACTACAGCCGCAGACTGCCGCCGAAAAGCAAGCCCGTCCCCGAGGACATGGACAGGGAGGACTTTTTAGACATCATCGGCGTGGAGACGATCAGCCACGAGTACCCCGTGGTGCAGAGACCCGTGAAGACCTCTCCCTCCGCGGACAGAATCCCAGCGGCGTCCATCCCCGTCGAAAAACCCGGACCAGTTAAAATCCCGTCTTCCTCCGGGCGCAGGGAGAACCTCTTTTTGTCCGAGCTCAACAAAATGCCGCTGAGACGTCAGGCCAACGTCGCCGATGATGAAGATGAGGATGGCGACGTGGAGGACGAGGTGACGACCTACCTGGCGGCCAAGATCCTCACGGAGTACCCCAACACCATCACCAAGAGGGACACCCAGGCCCAGCTGAAGGGACAGTTCCCCTACGAGCTGTACGAGCGGGTCATGAAGAACTACCTGGGCCAAGCGGACACTGAGAAGCGGCCGCTGGCCAAGAGGGAAACCGAGGTGGCCACAGAGGAGGAAATAGAGCCCACGGAGATCCAGGGGGAGGAGGAGATGATGGCCAAGACCTCGGCTCCACAGACCGTAAATGAGGGGGAGCGCCGTGAAAAAAAGGTGGCCGGGATGTAGCCCGACGCCCTGCAAGACGCACGAAATAATGAATATTTATACTGTATCAAAATTAAAGTTTGGTGGGCGTGATCTAGTTTACAAATGTATATTATATGAACTATAGCTGGTATAACTAATATCACCCTAACGGAAATGAACTATAGCAATGTCACAAATCCAAAACATCTTTTTTCAAATATACTATAGTCCCTATACTTGCTGCAAGAACATTACAGATATATTATATATTGATATCATATGAGATTAAAAAGGTGCACTCCGTGCATAAACGAGAAAACGAGTATCCTCAAAACACTTTAATTCCAACGTGTTGCCACTCTCAAATTGCCAATTAGGCCTGATGGTGTACATCAACCGATATCAAATCACAATGAAATCCAAGTTATTAAAGTTTGGTGATGTTGTTAAAGGTTTGTTTGGGTTTGTGTTTGTAAACAGGCCTATATTTTAAATTATAATCAACTGAGTAATGTAAAAACGCTTATTTTTCATCCATGTCAAACTATTCAATTACATATGTGAATATACCTGTAAATGAAGCATAATGCTGACTGGGCCTCTAAAACACTAGTAGACAGCGTGCTGAGAGGGGTGCATAGGAGCATTATGGGGATTTTTCGTTCGGGCAGCGTGCTGGGCTGAGAGCGAGTGTTGTTGTGACTCGTGATATATTCAGGGTAAGTGGATTTAATGTTAGTATAATGGACAATTATTTCCAAGTCTAAATATCAGACCGTCACCTGCCTTCCAACCCTTTCATACTGAAGCTCTGTATTGTTGGCCTACCAGTGGTTTGTGCTATGTATGCTCATTTTTAAACCATTTTGTACATGTTCAATAATGTGTGATGACTCACAGGTGAAATAAAGCATCAGCTGTATTATTTTTCCTTCTTGCAGAGTTGTGTTGCCTTATTTAAAAAAAAAACACACACACACACACACACACACACACACACCGTACATGACACAGCTGATCTACTAAACACAAATGTGGTGAGGCAGACTCTTTATCAAAATACACATTTTAATCAGAACGTCATGAATTGCACATGATAAATAATCGTGATGTTCACACCCACAACAGCAACTTCTCCTTTTAAAGACGAATGGTCCCACACATGTTAAAGAAGCTATACAGCTTAAAAACAATAAGACGTCATCATAACCAGTCTCACTCCAATCTGTCCAAATATGAACTGGAGCTGCAGATTAGTGTTTTTGGAATAAAAATCATTCAGTTCCAATATATTAACACATGATTTAAATATAAACTCAACTAATTTATGAACCAAAAATACATCCCAGATCCTACTGCTACTTCATTTACATTGCGATGATAGCAATCACTGTGAACACAACAACCCCTCCCCTCCCCTCCCTCTTCCTTCAACTGACTGAACAAATATTAGACTTACTCTCAAATGGCAGTTACAATGCAGCAAAGCTTCAGGCAGAAGGCGAACAACACATTCCACATGCCTGTTTCATCTTTAGAAAATGTTCAAATAGAATAAAAGAAAATCACATATCCAGAAACTTCTTTGACTCGTATACAGCACATCTGGTTCCTGTATTCCCCTCTCCGCTGTTCCTTTGTGTCCCGCGGGTTAAAATGCAGGTTTGCTCATGTACTCTTCCATGGTCTAGAGAAAAGCACAAGAACTTTAGTGTTTAAAAGATCACGTTCTACGCCTTGTAAAAAAAAAAAAAAAAAAAAAAAAAAAGCATTGGAGCACAATGAATATTCACAGGCACACGTCTACACATCACTGGTTATCAAGTACCGAGCACACCAACTAACACAAGCAGAACATCTAACCTTTCTGTCCATATTCATGGTCATCCAAACAGCTCCACCTCAAACCACTCACTGCTGTCATCCTGCAGCGATAACGGTCAAAAATGAATGGGAGCCTACGCTGCACATCATCCAACTCTTGGTTAAAATAGTGTTAGTCAGCCCTGCTCAGCAGCACACAACACCACACCCAGTTCACTACAGTACCACGCAGAGCCATGAACCTACAGAGAGAGCGGGAAGCATCAGCCAAACACTAAACCTACACCCCTTGTTCCAGGCAAATCTGTCTCTCACTCGCAATAGCAGAGAGAGAGAGAGAGAGAGAGCGACACACACACACACACACACACACACACACACACGCACAAGGGAAGAATCAGCAGCACAAACTCAAATCTATCAAAAAAAAGAGCCAATATCCACAAGCTATGAGAAAGAAAAGGCACACCAGGGACTCAGCACCACTGTTAATTGAACTCGCTACACTACTTGCGACATTTGCTGTTCACACACACACGCACACAAATAAAATGAAACAAGCTCCCACACTGGAGATAAACAAAAGCATCAAGTTTTTTTTTTTTTTTTTTTAAATCTTGTCGAGCCATGCAACAGATGTTACATACTCACACCACAGATGCAAGCCACGCCTTGTGTTGTGTGTGTGTGTGTGTGCGCGCGTGCCGGCGTATCTCACCTCCTGTAACATGTCGGAGGCTTCAATGGCGCGATTCACTATTTGCGTGGAGGTTTCTTGTATTTCCCCTCCAATTAGAAACTCATCCAGGATAAAATAGGCCTTCTCAAAGTTAAAGATGATGTCCAGCTCACACACCTGAGAGGGGGGGGGGGGGGTTACCGTCATCATTACACAACAGTGCAGAATGTACTTGCGTTACTTACATTTTTTACATTAAAAACAGATGTTTTGATACGATATTTACTGACAAGTTCGGCAGTTGTAATGCTCTTGATTTAAGCTACCATCACATTTAAACGGTTACACTTCAGGCTACAGCTGCATATCGAATCAAAGAGGGTGAAACACAGTGAAATACATTGCCAAAGTATTTGTCCAGCAGCTCCACGTAGCGTTGGATAACCTCCAGGGCTATCAGCTCATTCTCCTGGTTGTCTATGGCCAAGCAGAAATACAAGCTGGCATACCTGAGGAAAAGGTGACACAGTGAAGAGTTATAAAATATACATGCAGCAGGTGTAACTAGACTGCTGCTGCTTCAGAAGCAGATAAGTCCTTTGAACTAGATGAACAAACAAGCAGGGGCAGCACCCACCTCTTGTAAATAACCTTCAGGTCTTTCCAGTGCAGGAAGTTGCAGGAGCGCGGCTGCCGTGCCAACACCATCGTGGTCATGTCCCGGATGATCTTCTTCTTCTCACGTTCCGATATGGGCGTGAACCACCTCTGCAGACGCAGCTTCCCCTGGCGACTGAAGAGGAGCAAGAAGCGGATCTAACGGCACAGATAGAGCACACGTGTGTGTCGGCACAAAGTCTTCAGAGGACATTCTTAACTACTCTCTAACACACAAAGCCAGGGTCAAACGAGTGGTTTCCTGTTGTCATGACTCATTACAGAGTAACTCCACTGAACAAACACATCACCAAAGGGGGGAAAGAAGGCTCCACAGGCAGAAATGTGAAGGTCAATAAACGACTAAAGAACAAGGTTTTCAAGAGAGCTAAGGAGTTGGGTTTAGGATGTTTACAGAATGTGCTTCCTGGCATTGGACATACATATGGCTACATATCTAAATGGACATTAATGTTACCCGATTTCTATTGGAAACACACCGATTCCTTTGAGTCTTCCTCTCATTGTTGACGTAAGAGGAATGAATAGTTGCACCTCTGAGTGAAATCTGTGAGAGATCATTTCAACCCACACAAAAAAATAAAATCCCCAAGAGAGATAAGTCCGAGCTGACTATAAGCAAGTGTGGACATTATAATGCACAAGATGTTTCCTATTTACTGTCACGACAAAAAAAAAATACATAAACTTTATGCATTTGTAGAAAAAAGTGTTCACACTGTGAACATATTTTTTTTTCTAGCTTTGTAGCCATTTTAGGAAAAATGTAAAAGTTCACTTGTTTGCAATTAAATAGAGAAGCTGTTTTGAAGTGAACAGAAACAGATCAATACAGCCAGAGAGATACTTCATGATAATAAAACCACATAATAGGCTACTAGAAAAACAGCAGGCCTACAACGAGTCAAATACTGGTATCTCCAGGGTAGTGTGCGTGCGTGTGGCCTCTCTGTCAACCCAAAGGACAATCAATATGGAAAGCATTAAACTGCCACCAGGGCAGGACTCGACGAAACCTGTTTGACTGAGGAGACCGGTTGAGGAAACGTACGCTTTACTTCCGCCGGTCGCTTCAAATGAAAAGAGATAAAACACAACTAAACCGACAAGTACACGACATGAAACCACACACAGCTGCTGCACGGCGCCCTGATAGGAACGAGCAGGCCTCGGTGGAGAAGGAAGTGGTGCGGAAGTGTAGTTCCTAGCTTTTAGCTACCTGACAGCGACAAACAGGTGCAACAGGTGCAACAGGTGAACAGCCTGACGCTAACAGTCATGCGTAGAAAACGACCACCAAACACTCACCATGTTGAGCCCGCGCCAAGAGCTATAAACGTTATCAAAGGATAAAAAAAAAAGAAAAAATAGAAGCACTTTAACCCTTACAAAGGGTCAGCTGGTTCGGCTGAACACATCTCTATCCGTCGCTCACTCCGGTCCGGCGTGAAAGTTGGTTATAACTCCGCCCGTCCTGCCGGACGCGTCACCGCCCCTCACACCCGTCCGGATTGGTTGTTGTCGATTTGTGTTGCAGAGGTGCAGCCCGTCACAACCTTTTAAATATGTCCCACGTGATCTGTGCAAAGCTCTTTTCGTGAATGAGCTGATACAACTTTAAATACGACTTAACTTTTATCAGGGTGAGCGTCTCAAGTGTTGTTCCCACGCGGAGTCGGCAGAGAGCAGCAAGCGCTCCCTCCTCCCTCCTCCCTCCGCCTGCTTCATGTGACGCTGATCCGTCACAGCGGTTGACAAGGACCGCCAAGGCTGGAACACTTCTTGGATTTTTTATTATTCACTTGATAACATGTCTCTGTACCGGAATGCCGTCTGGTTTCTGAATGGAATCCACCAATATACAAGGTCAGTCATCACACTGAGTCCTTATGGAGGTTATCTAGAGATGGAAGGAAATAGCTGGCAGAGGATGCTTTTCAGTCTGTGTGGGCTATATGATTTAAATAAATTGTCAGTCCTGCTTGTTGGTTGTCTAAATTTACAAAATGCATTGTCTGTAAAAATGTATTTAGTGTCATTCTTTTAAGCCTAAAGACTGGTGAACAGAGGAATACCAACGGTCTGATCACTGTATGGCACACATCAATGCACAGACTGGCCTTTATGCACAATTACAATAGTTCCATTGACAGCTGGGGTGTATTGAGGATCACCTGACTCTACTGGAGCTAAGATGTGGAGAGAGAAAAACTGCTCATATGTATTTCCCATGTGCCTTCAAGGAAAGGATATGAGGCAGCATTAAAAGACTTCGAGCCCCAAGACCTGGATGTGTCCCTGGTGGGACGGTCCTTCATGATCACCGGAGCCAACAGTGGGATTGGCCGGGCAACAGCCATGGCTATAGCCCAGAAAGGTAAACTGCTGCCGAGGTATGGTCTCTGCCTTCTTCTATAATGATATAAATCAAACTTTGCTTTTTTTGTTTCCAGGTGGGACCGTCCACATGGTGTGCAGGAACAAAGATAAAGCAGAAGAGGCCAGGGCGGACATTGTCAGTGAGTCTGGCAACACGGTGAGTGTTGTTGGCCTCAAACTGACACTAAACGTGACGAAGACGTGACGAATCCCATGATTTGTGAGAGACTGATGCTCATCTGGTTATTCTAGGAGGTACACGTCCACATTGTGGACATGTCAGAGACACACAAAGTCTGGGAGTTCGCAGAGGCCTTCAAGAGGCAGTATCCAGCCTTGAACGTGTTGGTATGTGTCACCAGTCTCCTTTAATATTCATCCTCAATCCATCTTCACAAACTGATCCTGTTTGATCTGACTTCTCTGTCATTTCCTTCACGACAGATAAATAGCGCAGGGTGCATGGTGCACAAGAGAGAGGTGAACGCTGAGGGCCTGGAGAAGAACTTTGCCACCAACACTATGGGTGAGCCCCTCATTGTGATGGTCACAGAAGGCCATGCTGTCGTACACATGCACAGTCTGAAGTTTGCCTCTTCTCCATCTCTCTAGGGGTGTTCATCCTCACGCAGACTCTCATACCACTTCTACAGAAGAGCCGGGATCCAAGGGTGGTATGAAAACACACACACACACAAAGTGCTCCTCTGCATCATGTGCACAGCATAATGCCCCTTTTGTCTGCGCTGCAGTGGCTGTTGTCTCAGCACACTGGGCCTCTTTTCCCCCTGCCTGTTAGATCACTGTGTCCTCAGGAGGCATGCTGGTCCACAAACTCAGAGTCGACGACTTGCAGTCAGAGAAGGACTACTTTGATGGCGTCATGGTCTATGCCCAGAACAAGGTTGGGGGAGGGGGGAGGGGGGGATGTGATCCAGGTTACAAAACACGAGTTGGAGTTATATTTATTAACGTCATCTGTCTCACTGCGTTGGGATTTATCCATGTAATGTGGATGAAGAGAGGAAAACAGATGGAGTAGTAGTGCAACATGCATTGACAGTAGTAGTGGATACTGTTGGCATATTTCTGAGCTGATGCAACCATGTGGTGTTTCTCCTCAGAGACAGCAGGTGGTGCTGACACAACAGTGGGCCCAAGCTAACCCAGACATTCACTTTTCTGCGATGCACCCAGGCTGGGTAGATACTGCAGGTACTGATAGGCAGCTGGTCCAAATGGCCTAAATACTGTTGTATCTGCAGGTCATTTTTCTTAAGCCAAAAAATCCTATACATACTGTACTTGCACAGCTGTCTTGTCCCTCAAATATAGTGCCAATGGTCCTGATGGTGGTGCTACAGCAAATGTCTACATAGAAACAACAATCTGATCTAAGGCATGGCTACACAGTAAATAAAGCCACACAAAACAATGAGTCAAATAAAAAATCAGTTGGACTCCGCTACAATATTAAAATGAAACTTGCATGTCAATGTGTAAATAATAATAATAATAATACAGCTATTATAACATGTATGAATGTAATAATGACGGAGCCCATTTTGGCTGTTTTACTATTATACTTATGTAAGTACATTTTACTGGTAATGCTTTTCCTTTTGTAAGGTTTTGAATGCAGGACTTTAATTATACAATTGTGGTATTTTAACTTCTACATAAGTAAAATATCTGACTACTTCTTCCACTGGTTGTTTTAAACGTTCAGCAAAAAATTGAACCCATAACACACTATAGTACAAGACTTCCTCTCACTGTCCTCTTCACTTGGACTCAGAGATGTTTGTTAACGTTTCGGTCCATACATCTCCATCAGGGTACTTTTTAAAAGATATGTTTATGAACAATGTTCTGAATGCAAGTGAAGTGGGCAGTGTGCAGGTGTCTGGTTGTCCTACGACCTAAAGGTGTGCAAAGGTTTGCTCTCTTCTAGCCGATAACACACAAATATGTGACCATAAACTCAAATATAAACATGTCTTCATAGCTAAATTAATATATATATAATAGCTGTGATTTAGAGCTATCAAACGGAGGACATGAGGTAGATCAAATATTTATCAGTTTTTAATTTTGCCAAGTTTTCACATTTTGTAATCATTTAATTGGGATGACTAAGTAATTGAGTGTTTTAGTGATTTACAAGGAAAAAAAGTTTGAATTTAAAAGACATACTTTTATTTCTATTGTATTTTTTTGTCACTCTCACCTCATGAAAAAAGTACCAAACTATAGTGAGCCCTCGAGGACCTACTTACTTCAGTCTATCTTCCACTGCACCTGTAGATCCTTCATTCTTGACATCAGTCTGTAGTGAAACCTTGCTTGTTTCATTTGCTTGAGTAGGAAAACCATTCAGTCACAGTTAGTAAGACAGTATTAACCCAAGATACACGTACACACCACCAACCCTTTCTCTTTCTCTCGTTTCCAGCCGTTTCTACATCAATGCCTCAGTTCCACCAGATGATGGGGGAGCGGCTGCGCAGTGTGGAGCAAGGAGCCGACACCGTTGTGTGGTTGGCCTCGTCTCGAGCTGCTGCCAGAACACGTAGCGGGCAGTTCTTCCAAGGTCAAGAGCACCAAGTGTGACCGGTTCCTCCACGACAGAGATGTGTCTCTTTGATACTGACGAACTGTTTGTGTTGCAGATCGTACGCCCGTTCCGGCCCACCTGCCTCTGGCCTGGACTCACAGCTCTGCTGAAGATATTCAGGTGTTCATGACTCAGATGGAGAATTTGGGCCGATCCTTCACTGAAAACCTGATGTAGAGCTTCACCTTCCAGACCTTAACTCGTCTGAATATTCTGATACAAATGTTACACATGTAACTGAGCCATTAAAGCATTAGTTGCAATAATAAAAAAAATCTCATGTTTGTCTATTGAAGTCTGCTTCTTTATTCCACATGTTTAGCACAGTGCATCGCTTTAGTTACCTGTGATATCAACAGGAACTTTCATCGAGTGTCAAACTATTGACTTAAACACTAAAGTCATTGATTTGGATTGAATGTCTCATTAGTTACTGAGCACCCGTTTATTAACTAGACGAAGCAAGATCTATCGGTTTATCTGCTGAATGCGATTTAGATTCTATAACTTGTGGCTAACATCGAAAAGTTTATCGCTGTCTGCACAGAGCTCGCATCTGAAATGTGCAGTAGAGACTGCTTCCCTGTGACACCTTTTAAACGGTTGGATATTTGCTATAATTGAATTAAAATAGAGTCCAATGGATGTAATTTGACAGTCATCTGCTCCCATTCAAATTTCTCAATCCTCAAAGAACCAATTTAAAAATACTAATTTAAAAAATGTTCTTCAAGTACCGCAGCAGATAACAGTGCTGTGAGCCCTCTCAAAAACACTGTAGTTTTTTTTGTTTTCATACTGACTGAAATGCTCAATGAGGATCAGAGAGCAATGTAGCAGATCAGACGATCGCTGTGAAAAACTACAGAGCAACAATACTCACTTTTTTATTTTGTAACAATCCACATTTGCTGTTTTTAATAATTTTATTATTTTTATACAGTATTGAAACAAAAAAATAATGTGGTGCATTCACATTTTTCCCAAGGGATTCTTTGCAAGTTTGATCTCTACAAGGGTAAAACAGTGAAAAGCTTGAAGCTGGATCCATCCATGTTAAAACTCAGGGAATAGGAAGACTGGGCCCGATTTAAAAATCATCTACAAGTTTTGATGGATTGAATTTCTGCGCCAACATTTTTATTCCCATTTATGTTCGTTTACTGTGTTTTTGTAAGGGAGGATGAATCAGGTTCCCAGCATTTGTCTTTAAAAGAAACTTCCAGTCCATGCGTAACAACAGTCCAAAGAAAACAAACAAATCCCCCCCCCCCCCCTCTCGCCACCCAACCCCACCCCCGTCCAGTCTCTTCCTCCTCTCATCCACAGTTCCTCTTCTATGCAACGTAGGTGTATACTTTGCGATCTTCTGGCGTCCTTGCCAAGTATTCTCTTTCTATTAGTCCTTCTATACGCTTTTTAATTACGACAGGGCTCGGAAGAAAACGTGACCGTAGCTGCTGAGTTACCTGAGGACACAAAGTCACAGCGGGTAAGAAAATGGCAGAACACAGCCACAATAACAAACATTTTGAAGATGGGAAACCAAATTGTTGTCCATTGTTAAAGAGAAACGGACCAAATTGTGCATTCTCACAAGGAGCTCCTTACCTCAGCCACCAGGATGTTGTGCTGCATCTTCTTCCTTGACTTCATGATCCGGACGATGGCCGCCTCGATCTCATGCTTCCTGTCGTCATCCACTTTCTGCCGCGTCTCTTTCCTTTCGGGGTCGGATTCCCCTTGTTTAGCAGCAACTGGGAGAGTAGGATACAGGGACAAGATGAGGTGCAAGGACCAAATGTAGAAAATCTCTCACGGTACTATATTTAATGTTACAGAAAGGAAGAGTCCCCGTCCCCCCCAGCTTTATGTCACAATGTACTTTTGAAGAGAGGATGTAGGAAAGGCCCATTTATCCTATAAAAAGGACGAATATTGTATCGTCTGATCAAAAACACAGTACACCATGTTGGACAGAAGGGAGGTGAGACTTGTTGCTGTAGTGACAGTACGTGTTGTACACAAACTTTGCCCACCTGTCTGTATTTTGACTCTGTGCAGTTTGGAAGTAAACTGATCATTAACTGTAAACACGTGGCCGCTCTCGATCTCCTTAGACTTGGGCTCCTTGGTGAGAACTCTCTGTGTTGGCTTCCCGCAGGCCAGAGACTGCAGCGCTCGCACCAACTCCCGCTCAGGGATATCCGTCTCCTGCTGGATCTCCTTTAGATGGCCGACAGAAGAATATTGTAAAGTCCTCGCATAGAAGAATGCATGAAAGTCACACAGTAAGCCAAAAATAACCTTGACAAAGACGAGATTATGACAGCCAACATGTCCCCACCTCGAATGTGCACTTTTCTCTGTTGTTGAAGAGCATGAGGATGGTCATCTGGAAAGTGGAGACCTGTAGTATGTGCTTCCGGGTGTTAGAGCCAGTCACCTGAGCTCCTCCCACACCCACCTCTGAGCCGTCCTCCTGCAGAGGAAGAGGAAGTAGAAGGGGAAGGTAAATGTAAACTACAAACTTAGGAAATATACTCAACACCACCACTGATTCTTGATCGAAGCGGTTTAGAATAATAAAAAAAAGGCAAATGGCGTTTTTCATCTACCTTTTTAATAGTTCCGTAGAAAGTTGCGTTTAGGTCGGCCCCGCCCATATGGTGCTGCAGTGTTAGCTGCCTACCACTGTGCTTAGCGAGGTAAAACCTGCAAAATAACAGCAAGACCTTTAGAAACCACACGGAACGACACTGAGCCTCCCTCTGTTCAGTGAAACATTCAGGTGAATTAAAGAGCATTACCTTCTAAAGACTTCAAAGGCGTGTCTGGGGGAGGGGGGGATGGTGCATTTAGGTGTTGCCGACTGTGTGGGCCAGTAGCCAGTAGTTAGCACTCTTACTGTGAGGTCCACGCCACTTAGAGACGCCTGAATGAGACGCATGGACATTTTCTTTCAGAATTTCTCTCCAAACACATGTTGATATAGCATGACTGAACAGTTATTACATCTTAATAACAGAATAACTGGTACACACCATTCTGATTAAAGACTCGCTTCAAATCCTGTGATTTAAATGTTCTTCCATTACGATATGGATCGATATAAAGACACATTTCTGCTTTGTTTCTCTGTAAAGAGGTCTGACTGTCTTACCGACGTAGTCTGTATGTGTTGCCTGAACTCATCCATGGTCGTGTTGGATATGCTCATGTCTCTGAACATCCCTTCCAGTTTCGAGGTGAACTGACAGCCGCATTCTGTCTGCAAAGGAGAAAGACCGAACAGGGAGTTCAAACTGCTGACGGAGGACTTAAGATGGGGCGAAGGGCAACAGCAGAGAGGAAGAAAGAGAGCGGTACGAGGGATGTGCGCACACAGTGCATCCGTTACCAGAACGTCTTTTACCTTGAGCTTGGAGATCATGTTCTTCTCCGAGTCGTCTGACACACTCTTGTTGCTGAGGAGCCTGCGGCCCAGATGCTGCTTGTAGTACCTTTCAAACACATCCTTCTCTTGCATAAACCGGAACAACACCATGGCCTTGTCAAGGATGGACTCCACCTCCTGTTCTGTCAACTGGTCAAACACGACAGGGTGGAAAAAGAATGAGGAAATGTACAAGACACGGAGAAAAAAAAAAAAAAGAAGCAGATTTCTTGCAGGGCACACAAATGTAGAAATATAAGCCGTGCGTTATAGGAAAAAAAGAAGATTCATACCCCTTTGACACCCTTCTTGAGCTTGTCATCAATAAAGAGTGATAGGTACTCTGGTGAGCGGGAGTTGAGGTTGAGGAAATACTCAAAGTCTCCTGCTATGGTTTGTTTGAAAAGTCTGTCGTTGTTGAAGGACTCGAGGAGGAATCGATCAAATCGTATCTTCAGGTCTAGCAGGCCCTGTTGAGGAGGCAGTTACAAAGAAGTGGTGTAATAACACGTTTCCCTCTCAATCACAATAGCAGGTTGGGCTCGCTGATATCTTGAGACATGAAATTGTGTTTTTGGACATACCTGGATATAGTCGACAGGGTTCTTGCCCTCTCCCTCTTCGGACACTAGCGCTTTGCCTTGCTCCCTCAGGTAAGAGCTCATGCACTCGCACATAGTTTTCAGGCCGTTTGGCACACGACTGAACAGCTTGTACATGCACGCCAGGTCTGAGAGGGAGACACGGTGGGAGAAAACATATGACAAACAAGTAGAAACTGTTGAGGAAAGGCTGAAAAAAAGAGACAACTTTGCTGTTCTTCATTTTGAAATATAAATGCAATGCTTTGACATCAAATCTGCAACGATGTTACCTTCTGTCTTGCCGTTCTTGAGCATATGGACGAGGCCAGAGTTCTCCATCTCCACGATGGTCTTCATGTGCTTAGAAATGAGCTCCCTCTCCACCACCTTGACGATGGGCTCCTCTGTAGACTTGTCTAGGCAGTGCATTACTCGCTCGATCTCTTCATTGATTCTGGCCTCTACCTTCTTGATGTAGACACTGGCACTGTTTTCTGCTAGGAACTTTTGGCTCTCCATCTGAACGAACAGATGTTATGGGATTATCCATTACAAAGATTTTCAGTGGTTAAATAAAGACACCAACAACCTACCACAGACGTACCTGGAAGAATTCCGCTGACATATCTAAGAAGGGACCTTCAAAGTCCTCCTCATACACAGACCTGCCGTCCAGGCCAAGAATCATCAGCATCTGGCAGGCGTTTCTGATGGCGCCCCTGCAGAGGATGATAAAAAAAAGAAGTGGTCTGAAACATATGATATAAGATCAAGACATGAAACTTTCTAATTTCAACCAAAACACAGGGCACCCTGGAGTAATCCTTGTGAAGTAGGACTCCTGCATACCTGTCGACAACCTCTCCCTTCCTCTCGCGAGCGATCATGTCCAGTAGCGTCTGACGTAGGTGGTCTCGGATGCAGCCGTACCGCACCACCTGGTCTCTGAATATGATGAGACCGAGGTTGTACACATTCTCCACGTTGTTTTGTTGAACGTAGACCCGGTCCTGGGAGACGAGAGAGCACGGAGGTGAAAAAGAGCCTGAATACAGCATGTATGGAAAGCAGTACTGTGGCCCAAACTGACTCAACAACCTTCATACAAACATATGCATGTTGACAGATTCTTAAGAAACGAGATTTAAACCACTGTTTATACTTAAAAGTATAAAGTTTGTATGAATGGTATTAATCCCACCACCACCACTTCACAAGTATGTATTTCAAGTGTTTTGTATGCTGACCGGTGTAAAAATAAATAATAGAGTTTCC